CGCTTGGGACCACCGAGGAGCAGGCTGGCTGGGTAAAACACCAACACAGCCCCATGCTGAGGAAAGACACATCCCAGCATGTTTCTTGGGGCCCAAGCTACTGAAAAACACGGCCCAGAACACAGCTCTGTGACCGTTAGATCAGAATCTACCCATAGCTGGAAAGAGACATCAGCATATGGGATCGAATCTGGACCAAAGTGATGTGATGAAACGGCCAGCAGCACGGCCAGCATGTATATTTTCTCCACAGCAATATTGCAGCTGTGGGTGACTGATGAATAAGCGAACACATGCAGCCTCAACAAAGGGTAGTCCACCCTGAAAAGTGCCATCAGGTGTGGGCCTAAGCTTTCGGTCATGCATGGTTCGTCTCTAGCCTTTTGCAGGCCAGCAACCTCATAGCCTTGCGCATTTGGCTTTGAGGCTGGACACACGCCCAAACTGGGCAGTGTCCTTATTCAGGACACATGGCCCCACCAGATATTGAGAGCCGCGGTCAACACTGGTGAGGCAACTTTCACTGAAATACTCTTGCCGCGTAGGGTGCCTCTCAGTCGTCACCAAGCTCCCCTTGAGGCATAATTCCTCTCAACTTTCATGATCAGCTTGCTGCATTACCAAAAACGCAAGCACTTTTTGTTTTTGTTTTTGCTCTTTTCTCTTTCTAGCCGGTGGTGGCATACTCGGGCCATCCCACACAGTCAGCATGCATGTCAGACGTGAGTCCCTCGCCAGCTGAATCATAAGTGACTCACCCAATGAAACGGTGGTCATTATGCAGCTGCGCGAACACCGACTTAAACAGATCTCCGGGCCTTGGGTGAGAAACACACGGGAAGCCGCTTCGATTCTCACAGAACCGCTCAGACAACCATGCGCTCGAACGACGAGATTGCAGTGGCGCGCTCTGTCGAAATCCGAGCGCTGAAGACCTCAAGCCCTTGGCCGTGAAGCCATTCTGGTCGGGTTGCGCACCTCGGCCTGTGTGCACGGGTCGCACACGAGGAAAATGCCAACAGAGTGCTTACAACTTTACGGACGACGGCCCGTTCCGTTCAGACCTCCGACACTGGGCACATCAGCATGCCTCCAGCACACAACATGGCAGCCAACCCCCAAACACCTTAGCCACGTCAGAAAGGGCAGTACAATCAATCTTGTACAGTTTCTATCGGGACAAGTCCAAGCATGGCAGTTCACATCATTCTCGCTCTCCTTGCTCCTCCTGCTCTACTATTCGCATCACGTTGGAGCACGCTTCCGCAAATCTCACAGCATGCTCTCCTAATTCTCACATAAAACCCCTTGCAACGCTCAAGTGGCCATCGCTTCATTCTTTGGTCACCTTTCCAGCACACGCGCAGCACCACAATCGAATCTGTGCCGCGGCCTGAAAGGTTCGCAGGAATATTCGTTCACACCTATGGCTCCGGCTCCCCTTTTCCCGCACTACAATGTACTGCTCACAAACGTACGTCGCACGCGTGGCTGTGACGTCACAGCCACGCCACAAGTCAGCCCAGTGATAATTCTTGATTGAATTAAAAAACTGATACACTCATACAGCGCATCAGCAACAAAAGTTTATAATTTTCCATGGCCAAATTCATCACCAATTCTTGATGTTTCCGTGCGTAAGAGGCTGCATCCCTATTGGGCTGTCAGACCTCACAGAACCACGTAAAACAAATCTACCTGAGACAGAAGAATTGAAAAGAGATGACATCACACTTCGCCCTGGGCTGCCATGAATCAATTGTGCATTGATCAGCATGAAAATCCACATTAGGTTTGACGTTCTCATGCACAGCAATCACTGAGAAGTCAAACTTATTTCCGTCAGGGATCTTGAGAGTTCCTCAGTCACTTAAGGCAGGACGTCCGAGCTTTGATTCGTCACAGCAATTTCCACAAAGTCCAGTCGCACAATGACATTAATCACACAGATTGTTTATCATCTTGTTTGAAACTTGGCAGGTTATCAAATTGCGCAGATTGCCTTGCAGATGCTGTAGATTGTTGTAGCATGCCAGTTGACCATCTTCGATGAAAATCTTTGGCCGTCGTTGGCAAAGTCTTCCCGTCTGGGAAGGCGTTTGGGACGTGCAATCCCAGCCCTGCAGCGTCCTACTGGACGACCACGGTGGCTGCCCTGTCTACCACTGTGAGTGATCCGGTGGCAATACATCATCTGGCGCCGCGAAGCCCGTCACCTGCCCCCTTGAGACCGTTGGTGCGTTGCACCACCACCGGCGCCCGTGCCTCTCGCCGTTTCCGCGCTCCGCAAGCCGCAATCCCGCGCAGCCTGCAAGGCCTCCAGCCGGCCAGTGGATCCATCGGCGAAGATTGGCCACGAGTCGCGGCCATTGCCGGTCCCACCGATTGCCATCGGCGCTCGCAGCCCCTCGATTGCGATCGCCGGTGCGAAGCAATCGATGCGCATTGCTGCGGCCGATCGGTGCAGATCCATCCTCCTGGCAGTGCTGCATTGTCGGACACCGTTTCTGAGTGAGGACGCAGCTTCGCGAGCCAAGCGCGTGCGTCCAGAGGGGTGCCGCGTGGAGCCCAGTGCGTCACGTCATTTCCTGGGCGCAGGACCTTTGTGGCGTCGGTATCATGTCCCGTATCTTAGCAGAATCATCGAGATAGTCGAGATAGTCTTGTCGTCTCCGTATTCTCCTTCAATGCTGAAGTTTGTCCCCTTGGAGGAGACTAAGCCCTTTTACTTATAAAAATATATACTTTTGTGGATTTTAGCCACTCCCTGGCCACCTTTTGAGGCTCACGGGTGGCCAGCTTGGCACAAATTTCATATCATACATTGGCAAACCGAACAGGTGTCCAATGAGCCTCTGACCCGATGAGGGGGCTTTCAGCCGTGGGAGCTGGGCGCAGCGTCCACGCCAAGAACGCGTGGGAACTAACGAAATGGGTCTGCCAATGTATACAAATGACGTCCCACAGCTTGGCGCACCTGGCACAATCCCAAGCCATAGCGGCTGGATGTAAACACAGCAATGCACCTCACAAAATTTGAAACCAATTTCAAGGTCATTTCTATTACCTCCAGATGTGGATGTGGAGGGTCCCCCCGTACACTACGTAGTGTACGATCCACAAGCGTATACGATGGTATGCGATCCACAGGCGAAGCAGAAAATTTCGGACTGCCATGGAAGCATCGGCCATTTCGTAGTCACCAGTGACACTCCTGACAGCATCAAGCATGCCGCTCTGTACTTGCAAACATGGGAATATGTCACCCACACAGCCCCAAAGGCTTCATATTTTGCGGGGGCTGCATTGCATGGGTAACGACGAATATAGTCGGCCGCAAATTCGGGCACTCGGAGAAGCCAGTGGACGCAAAATCCTTCCAGGGTCATCGCGCTAGCAATGAGCACAGGACTGCATATCTCCCCCAGCCCTGAGCATTTCTGTGTGTGTTGTCACGGCGTTGGTTTTTCAACCTGTGCTTCCCATCCACAGGCCTGTGGCAGCCCTTTGCACACAGCGATAGGGGGGCGGCCCAACGGAGAGCAAACGCGTCAGATGTCTTCCCAGGATGGTTGGCTTGCCCACATCGTGGTATGGGGCCGGAAATCATTCGCAAACAAGTGCTGCGGCTTTCCACACCACGGGGGACTTGGTACAACCGCGTTGGTGGGGGGCACACCCGTCATCTTGTCTCTTGGGTCAATTTAGAAATGTTTTCCTACAGTGACAGAAACCTTGGGTGCGGCTGTGAATTTATCAGCTCTCGAGTGATGAAAAACTTATTGCCACTGCGTTTTCGGTGTGCTTCTAATGCCAAACTCACACAAGACTCTCCAATGCCGGCGAATCGCAGCGTGAAACATCTGCTCGTGCAATTTGTTAAATCTAAGTATCCACCATGTTGATTCGTAAAACTCAGTGGTCACAGAAAGGTCATCCTAAGCTTCAGAAAGCGAAAGGTCTGCTGTACGTTTGCACACCATTGCACTCACGGCAAAGGCATCTCGTTGACCCCAACAGTAGCTTTCAGTTTCCACTCTATGGCCCATAGGCAGGGTATTGAATCAACAGCTTAAACCAAGAATCCACTAAGTCCAATTATTGATACAACCGCTTAGATCCCCTGGAAATTCTTATTTTTACTATCATTGGGCCAATGACACCCCCCTCAAGAAGTCCACTGTTTGGACTCCAAAGACCAGGCCAGTCATCTGCTCTTTACAAGATAACCAAGTTGAGACATGTGAGATGAGCCAAGCACCGCACCTATGGCACACTGGGATATTCAACAGACGTTGCACCCAGCTCAACCCAAAGACAACTGCTGTCATCTATGAACATATGCGACCAATATCATGCTGCACGAGAATCAATATGGGGCAGCATCGTCTTCTCACATCACGCCAAGAAGATGCAAAGACACCACCTTAGTTCAGCCTCTGTCAATCGTCCCTGGACATTGGCTGCCAGCAAATGTATCCCAAGTGCTTGGAGAAGCACTGATCAGGCTCCACCATGCAAAATCACCACCTGAATGGTGGAGCACAGCCCATGATTTGCAAGATCAGCAGGCCCTCTCAGTCACCTTGGAGTCAACAACGTCCACAAGAGGGGCATGTTCAACCGGTCGGACTGCCATCAACCCATCGCAGGGGCACCAGCCAATCCAAAAAATGTTGAAAAACCCACTCTCAGCTCTGACAATCTCCTCTAGACGCCTACGACATGCAAAATGCATGGCCCCCTGGGTCTGGCATGCTCCTGCACAACGGCTTGGGCCATTCCAAGGAAGTCGCACTGCTGTGATATGGGAATCTCAGCAAGGGTTCTGATCCCGGCCAGCCCAATGTGACCAATGAGGAAGTGCTTCTTCTGTACCGTGGAGTACTTGGCATCGCAGTCTACACATGTGCTGGGAGACAAATGGAAAAGGGGTTGCGCATAGCTCATAGAGAAAACCACTGTCTCGCATTTCCATCGGTGCAATGGGCGACGCCACACTACATGTCCTTGCTCTTTTCTTCTGGACCCTGTGATGGATCCTCCTTCAGCGATGGTAATCGTTCCAGAAAGTCAGCTGCCCCTTTGATCGGAATGTACTTGTGGAAGTTTTCCATATCCAGCACCTTGCTGCACTTTTGGCCTTTCTGGCCCTTCAGCACGTCCACAAATCTTTGATCGTATTTCAGGTTCTCTCGCACACTCCACATCTTTCGAGCATACAAATTTTGGAGGCTTTGATCATCTGTGGCCCCCATACTGGCACTGATGTTGCCATCCGACTGGAGAATATCGTCGTAGGACATCCCATAGAGTGGAGAGTCTTTGTTTATCCTATCCAAATCACAATGAAGGCAAAATTACGACCACGAAGCAGACTCATACACCAGACAAGGGAGTCAAGGATCCACAGGAATGATGCTGGGCAACGGCCTGAGGAGCTACCTCAAGATGGTCTCTGCATCAGCCACTATGCTGGCATTGTGCCAAATGGACTGACTGCCAGACATCACTCGCTTACAAGCTGGGTAAGGGAGAAATGATTTGGGATTAGATCCCAACAGTTAACAGCAGTTGGGCCTCAAATAGAAGCTAGCTGAATAGTGAAGAATGAGACAGTAGATTTACTTGCACTTTGCCCACCAAATAAACGAGCTCCAGATTCTTGTGGCAAGCAGTTCCTGCAGATATCTTGCCATCATTGCCCGCTGTGAACAAGGCGTGACAATCTAACAACGATCATCCTTTGCCAACTGATACTTGTAATAGTGCAAGACAGTGACCGAACAAGCAACACCATTCCCATTGTTCCAATAGATTTAATGGTAGCTGTCCTCCTTGCTAACCACCTTCAGCAGGCAACAATTATAATGGCTGTGCAAAGCAAATCCATCAGAAAGCTGGGGTATTCCAACTGTGGCGCACAATAAGCTTGAACCAGTATAAACTTGAGCGCATGTTGCTAGGAAATACTTGCCTGTGCACCAAGTTGAAGCAAGGGGCCATGACTGGGGGCTGCGTGAACTCGAGCGTAGACCCAATGCAAACCTGCTCCCCTTCTTTCGTGGCCACGTGTTTGAAAAACGACACACGGATGTCCGGACTCAGCAGGAAGTTGCCCCTGGTGTTGGCCACTCGGAAAATGAGGACAGGAACTCCGTTCCTCTTGGTCATCAACATGACGTCGCTGAACACAATTTTGGAGGTCGGTATGCTGGCTTTGGTGACCACTATCCCAAGCAACAGCGCTGACATCAAAATACCGGCGAAGTGCTCCAGCGTGGCCAGCGTGTACGCCGCGCGACTGGCTGGGACGAGGGTGCCGTAACCAATGGTCACCACGTTCGCCACGGAGGTCCAAAAGCACTCCTCGAACTCAGTCATCTGCCCGCTCAGCTCTCCACTGAAGTGGTGGCCACCACTCTTCAACAAGTAGTAGAAACCCAGGGCGAACACGAGGGAGACCGCCATGTACACGGACGCCACAAACGCGCACAAGTTGGGCCACTCCATCTCGATGCCCATGTGCTGGAAATCGTCCGCTATGCATCTCTTCACGCCAAGCACAGTCCATTTAGGGTTCTGGGGCCCGCTGCTGCTGCTCTCCGAGAGGTTGAGCACCGGGAGGGAGAGATGCGACGACATGGAACGGACAAGCTTCGGAAACTCCCTCAGCTTCCGCATGTGTTGAGTGAGGTGCTGCTGAGCCATTCCGACAACAGCGGCCGACGCCGCGCAAATTCACCACGACGTCTTCGACCGCTGCACGCTGCAGGGGCGCGCCGCCGTGGCCACCGCCGGGTTCGAGTGCGTATTCTCGGGTCCGGCCACCACCAAGGAGGGCCCGTGAAGGTTCCAGTACTTTATGTAAAGAGGCGTAATTCGTTGTGAAGGTGACAAGAACGTGGGTACCACGCACATAGCACGTTAATGCCTGCGTCCCGTCCCTTCCACTCTTGGCGTCAAGATCGTTGTGCGAGCGAGAGAACGACGGGGGCAAAGATCGATTTCAATGCTCACGGCGGACAAGGAACTGCAGGCAACAGGTTGCAACCTGGCAGCCAAGTTGGACCAACAGGTTGCAGAAACCAAGCCTGCGTAATTCCGTGCATGAAAATGTCCACAAACGTGTTGTCAAAAGGGGCGGAGAACTCGATTTGCCCTTTCCATTTGATCGGCGAGGTCAGGGCTGTGCAGAGCATGGTGAGTGGCATGAGACTTTCTTTAAACGGTAGAAGCCAGGCCCACGCTGCTCTGTGAGCCACAGGCTATGAATGTATGCACCCAAACGCACAGCACTGTTCCCTCATCACACAAACGTCACTGCAGGTAGCCCATGACTAATTCGCTCCTAACAAAGGTGTATCAAAGGAGCTACAAACTTTGAAGTGCATGCTGCTTAGCAAGCAACAGTCTCCACTGTACACAGAACAACGCTGGTTAAATGCTCAGAAACAAGTTGCATGTGGCCCCAACTGAAGAGTTCCCAAAAACGATTTTACCACGCAACAAGTCTTGACCACAGACAAGCTGGTCAACCGCATGGCATCTGTGAACTTTAGAGGTACCACCCACAGCAAACCTCTACAGAAAAGCCCACCACAAAGAAAAGCGTTTCAATTTTGCAACTCTGCTCAATGCTCATGACAGCCTGCATGACTGCATCTGGCATGCTGCTTCTTCACAGGATAGTTCTTTCCTGTAAGTGGCTCCATCACTGTGGCATATTTCCACCTCATCCAAAGACAGTAGACTTTCATGGGGCCAGCTGCTCCACAACCAACACTGTGCCAAACATTCTTGTAGACAAAATATTGCAGCGAATTATTGCATTTTCCCCAATCAAGACCCTTTGCATAAGCTACTGCAGGTCGGCACCAGCCATCCTTGCTACAACTCCTTGCTCTTTCCATCTGACCCCTGTGATGGGTCCTCCTTAAGAGATGGCATTCGATCTACCACGTTGTCTGCCCCTCTGTTAGAGACGTACTTGTTGAAGCATGCCATATCCAGTATCCTGGGACCCACCCCCTTGCCCCCTTTCAGAACATCCACAAACCTCTGATTGTACCTGACATCCTCCTGTACTCTCCACATCTTTCTTGCGTACAAGGTCTGCAGGCTTTCATCATCAGTTGCCCCTATGCTTGCACCTATATTGCCTCCCGATTGCAGTAGCTCATCGTAAGACATCCCAAAGAGAGGAGAATCTTCGCCGATTCTGTCAGAATCACAGGCAAGCACACATAATGATATGCAGCAGTTTCTTAAGCACCCAAACAAGCAGAAGATGAGTCCACCTCCTCAAATCATGAGGCAAGAACACGATTCCTTTGCTCACATTCCCAGACATACGCTCAACATGCCATGCACAAAGCCCATGAAGGCAAGGATATCAGAGGCATCCAGTATCCATCTAGGTGCACTGAAATTGCCCAGGCGTGTGTGGCAAACAAACGATACCGAAGCAACAACACAAGTTCCTCTACCGTGCAGCAGCATAGGCAGTAGATGAGCAAAGCGTGATAACAAACGTACTCTCAGTATCGGCATGGACATTATAGGCAGCCTGGACTTGGTTGCCCAGTTACCACAAGCACAAGAACTTTCGCCATTGACCCACTGATCACCATCAAAACAGGGCACAGCAAACATGCCAGGAAGCGCTACCATGGTTTGGAGCTAGGGTATTGACAAGGTGGATAGAACACAAGCAATACATAGCCCCTTAATGAGGGACTGGGACACAGTTGGGGCACTTACCTGTGGACCAAATTGAAGCAGGGGGCCATAACAGGAGGCTGGGTGAATTCCAGGGGGCTCCCAATCCACACCTCCTCTCCCTCCTTCGTGGTGACCGGCTTGAAAAACGACACACGGATGTCCGGGCTGAGCAGGAAGTTGCCCCTTGTGTTGGCCACTCGGAAAATGAGGACAGGAACTCCGTTCCTCTTGGTCATCAACATGACGTCGCTAAACACAATTTTGGAGGTCGGTATGCTGGCTTTGGTCACCACTATCCCAAGCAACAGCGCTGACATCAAAATACCGGCGAAGTGCTCCAGCGTGGCCAGCGTGTACGCCGCGCGACTGGCTGGGACGAGGGTGCCGTAACCAATGGTCACCACGTTCGCCACGGAGGTCCAAAAGCACTCCTCGAACTCAGTCATCTGCCCGCTCAGCTCTCCACTGAAGTGGTGGCCACCACTCCTCAACAAGTAGTAGAAACCCAGGGCGAACACCAGGGAGACCGCCATGTACACGGACGCCACAAACGCACACAAGTTGGGCCACTCCATCTCGATGCCCATGTGCTGGAAATCGTCCGCTAGGCATCTCTTCACGCCAAGCACAGTCCATTTGACACAAGCACCTGCGTCGCGTCCGCTACTGTTGTCGCTGAGGTTGAGGGACGGAAGGGTGAACCTCGAAGACATCGAATGGACAAGCCGTGGTATGTCCCTCAGCTTCCTCATGTGTTGGGTAAGGTGCTGCTGCGCCATCCTAGCACAGACGCCCGCCGCCGCAAAAACCGCAGCTGTAATGGGGAGAAAGGGGAGCGGCGACGGTTGCCCTTGCAGCGAAGGCAACGCCCAGTGGCCGCTTAGATCCGTGTTTACGTTGTTGAGTGGGCCACTTGTACCGCAGGGGCACAAGGCCGGGCAGTTTTGCGCTATGGCGTAATGCAGAGTAATCGTCACGGTGATGGTGACATGAATGCGTGTCTACGTTGTGGCTGTACTTGCTGGCTGGTGTGTGGCTGGTGAATGGGTAGGTGCCATGGGACACAGCATGCGTGTGGTGCGTTAATGGGATTGACGATGGGTTAAGGAGTCCAATTAGGGAGATGTGGGTGGGCGCTCTGGATGCGGTGGGCACTCAGGGCAGTTACAGTGGCTACAGTACGCTTGCGACAGCCCTGTTTCCTTGGTAACCTGGACCCTCTGGTCCACGTGGACCAGAGGATCCACGTGCTGCGTTTGAACGTGAGCCAAGGGAGTTTTTGCATTTCTGGCACGAGCTTCAAAGAAAGCTCAGGGTTACCTTTGAAGAGGGCGCCTTGGCGGGCTTTCTCGTGGGCGGGCAGCCTCCCTACTTACAGAGTGTCCATTGCCCCCAACAACCTTGATTCACAACCGCCCGCACATCCTTTTGAGATTGATTTCGGTTTCAGGATTACGTGGCGATAGGATACAAGGAATTTAATACTGTGGTTGGTATCACGAAGCTAATGGCAAGGTGAACTTGATGTTGATGGGCATTGGGAGTTGGAAGGTTGATGACTACTTTTGTATACTCTGCATGCCGAGCGAGAAAGGGGGTTCCGTAAAGAAGAAAGCGCAGACCCGCCTTTCAGCTGAGTGTTATGAGAGATTCTGACAGAGTTAGTCGCACTGTATACAGTAGATGTTGACACACGGGCGGATTGTGCAACGGTGGGTCCACTGCGTGCTTCAACCAACACTTCATCAACTCATTCGCGAACAGCCATGAGCGACAAGGCGTCATTCCACACCCTTGGGTGTCACAGGCGGGCCAAATGCAACCCCAAGGGTTCCATCCGCCACCCAAAATCTTCGCCAGATGTCGCGTCTCCAACAGGCAAACACAAAGTGCCTGACCTGCAACGACAAACAGTACAAAGACTGCAGTCTAGTTGTACCGCTGTATAGCCTACTGATTCAGATGGTGCATCAAACCCTAAACAATATTCCTCATGTTGCAGCATACGGCTTTACTACAATTCACTCTGGAAATGTTTCATTTCGCACTCGGGCAGGTAGCGCAGTCAGCAAATGACCTGTCTCAGCTGTCATCGAATCGTCTTATGGCTGTGAGGCATACATGCGGCGATTGTCTTCAAATCTGTTTTTCTATCGCGGAGGATGATGCGTGCCTGCAACAGCGGCTTACAATCAAACAAATGACACCAAAAGTACAAATCGCTTCCTCCGGCTGGCAGAGATTCAGCCTTGGAGCCCTTCCTGCTGCAGGTCCAGCCCATGTGACCTTGCTGGTGAATGGAAAAAGGCAAAATCATCCCCTTTTTGGCCCAAGAAGTGAAGGCTGAACCAAAGGTGAAGCACAGGCTGGCCACTACTTGTTTTCAGACACGAATAGCCAGGACTGCAAAGGCAAGGCACGGCAACGCCTTTTCCGTATATCAAGTCAAATAGAGGCAAGCAAATGTTGGAAAAGGAAGTCAGCGAGTTGGTGCGCATTCCCCCACGATCTCGCACGCTTTCCTGATCAGTTGATCCATGGTTCAATTCTTGATAAAAGTTGATACGGAGGATATTTGGTGACTCACCACTGGTGAGAAGGTCCCTGAGCGTCAGCAGTTGATTGTCCACCTAATCCACAAATTTGGTCACGCGAGGTGCCATCACTGGGCACTGCTAGAGCTACAGAGCCAAGCCCGTACGCATCTTACGCATCTCCTACCTTTCTCTTGTGATCATTTGCTTGAGGAATGGCACGCATGGATTTCGACACAGCAAGAAATGCCCCTGTTGCTGGCCCCACAAAAATCATCGTCGGCACTCGTTTTCTTGTTGTCATTAACAAAGTAGGGCGTCGATAAACACAAGTTTGGACGTCAGTGCATTGTCTTTGGTGGCCACTATCCCCGGCAATGTCCCTGATAACCAGATACAGTAGAAATGTTCCAACGTGGCTAACACGTATGTGGCTCGACTTGTCGGAGTGAGACTGGCATATCTGGATACAGATGCAATGGGAATTAGCGACCACCCGCGCAACGGACGTCCAAAAGCACACCTCGAAATCTGTCATCTGCCCAGCCGCACCCCGAAAATTATGCTCCCCGGCCCCCAACGAAGAATGGATCCTCACCACAACTACCAGCGACAACACCACGTACACAACCACTCAATACACTATCAATGCACGCAGTTGGGACAGTTTTCGGTGCGGAAACCACTGAGTGGAAGTCGCCCGCTAGGGATCTTATCCCACCACACAGACCATTTCTTGCCCTAGGCCTTGCCGTTTGCGCTTTTCTCTACTAGTCTGATGGATTGGCGTTTGAATTTCAGCGAAAGCGCGCGCACCAGGTGCGATAGATACCGCAGCTTGCACATGTTCTAGTGGATCTGCCGGCCAGCAGTGATGTGGGCAATTTGTCACACCCCCTCCCGCCGTGGCTGTACTCGCCGCGGCGTGAACAGATCACAGCATCCGTGGGGCGCCAGGTCAATGAGGGCGCTTTTGTGTTTTCCAAGAGCGTCGATGCAATTGTTGCTCGGGTTGAACGTGTCTCTGGGCCTGCAGATCCTGCCGCGCAACGTGTGGGGCAAATCTGGTGTGGCAACGTGAAGCACTCCACGCTCATGCCAGTCAGTGGTGAAGCACAGCTTGATGACGTCCGGTGACCGTGGACAGGGTGGCAAGAATGTGAATGACAGGCGAGATAATATTTTGTCACGGTTCCCAGTCTGGTGGAGCCTGATCCAGTCAACATTTGCTCGAGCACCACCTGTTGATTGCTTGATGCTTGAAGGCTGATGTCTGGCACCCGTCGGTGCACGGCAAGCAACCTTAGCATACCCGCAACCGACACTTTCTGATGATCCGGTTAGCAACAGTTCGGAATCGAGGATCCACGTGATCTGATCCCAGAGCAAACATGCAGCCTCTGAGGCTGCAATTGTGCTGCTACATGCCTCTGGTGCACTATATTGTGCACGCCTCGCGTATGTTTTCCAGCCTGTGATCAAAATGGCCACCTCTGCGTGGCTCTGCTTTCTGTTTGACGCTTGCGAGTTTTCTAATGCACTCCGATACTTCTGCATCATCTTTCATAACATGGCAAAGAGTCTCGCAAACTGTCTCGAATCATGATTTGCTCTGACGTGGTGGCTTATTGTGGAACCTGTTTTCCTTAGGTAGTACATTACGCTGACAACGACGGCAGGGACATTGCACGAATAGCGTTTTGAAGCGTGGGAACACTCATTCCATCTCATTACTAAGACTCCCGCCGTGTTCATGCAGTCGACCACTATATCTTCTGAAGTCAAAAGCATCCGCACCCCTCCACTCTCCCCACAGGGCAAGTAAGACAGAGAGAACGCAACTGCGTGCTGGACTTGTGAGCCCCTCAACAGAATACGGGGGATACTACTGCATCAGCTTTCCAGCTAAGGATTTCCAGTGCTGCTTTGGTCGAGGCACCGGCTCCCATTCAAGGCCCAATGGCTCAATGGCAATTGCTCAATATTGAACCTCAGCCTTCACAGTTGCAATGTCCGACCATCTAGCGCATCTGTTATGCCATGTCCATGGTTTTGCATTGATTCTTCCGCAGTGCGCTGCCGTCGAGATTCAGGCCTCCAGGCACTACAAGACTGGACTACTTGGGTCTCCACTGTCCCGGGGTCTGCATTGATTATTATGCATTCCATTGCGAGGACAGGACAGCCAATATGGGACTGTGTGCAGGTGCACGGCAACGGGCCATAGTACGAAAACAAGCTGTACTGCTGTTTCTGGGAAACCGTTTGTGGCGAACGTTGGCCTATTTGCTTGTAGGTCAAGCCTTGGGCAGTGCATTCGAATTCCAGCATTGCTTATGGATTTGATGTGCGGGAAAATGAACAACAAAAACTCGTGGAAGGTGTCGAACAAATTCAAAACGAGCCAACTTCGCTCGGCCTGGGTCATCAAGAATTCGAAAATACAGTTGTCAAATGGAAATACACAAGCGTCCCAGAAACAGGAAGCAAAAGGGAACAACCAGTAACGCCGTATAGAAATCATAGCTCGAAAGACCTCGAGAACAAATTCTCCTGTGCTACTTCAATGTTTATTGGGGATATTGCAAAGCGCTTCAAAGACAACCCACATACAAAAGAAGCGCAAATGCAGTGTAATAGATGATATATCATCAACTTGGAAGACAGGCTATCACAACGTGTTGAATTCGCGCCTTGCAGGGTCATCAGATTTTCCAGATTAGCTGGGATATTGTCTGCATTTCATTCAAGAAACGCCAATCCAGCCATGCAAGAGCTGCCAGTTGTCCCAGTGGAAGTGCTCACTGATGTTGTCTTGCCATGCAGCTGCTAACCTAAATGCTCTATTCTTTTCAAACTTCCAAAATTTCCCAAACGCCAACATCAGCCGATTTTCACATTCCGCAAGTTCCACATGGGTAAGCCTAGTGCTATGCTCAGATCCTCCATTTCAGACAAAGCAATTGGCATTAGATCTTCCAACCTTTGTCTTGAACAATACTATTGGCCATGCATCTCTGGCCAATGACGACGTGTGCAGCAAAGGAAGAAGCCACTATTGTCAGCCATGTGGCCAATTATGCAGATTTTTCCGCAGCACGTGGATTTCAGTGTTTAAGGAGTGATGAGGGCTGGACATTTTGTGGCATTTTGTGACGTACACATTACGTATGCATGTGTGCTGCCTGTTCATGAAGGCAGGAGACGGGGCACAAATGCCATCAGGCGGCTGGCGTTGGGTTAAACCATGGCCTCTGTCAGAGAATTGCAACGCCTGTCCAAGTCATATGTTCCAAAGGGCATATGAACTGCAAACCCGTGCAAGGCTGTGTCATATTTCTTGCAAGCCATTATGATGATATGAGGAAATTTACCATCTTGCAGCACATACAACTTGCGCTCCACAACCGTGTGCCAGCGTAAAAGTGACATCATGAATACCCAATGGCTATCCAGAGTTCTCTCAACCAAGCACCCCAGGACGCCTTGTCTTTGTCCACGCGCAGCAAACTGTGGGCAAAGTCATCCCAACAGTCATCTTCATCCGCAAGATCATTGAGGAGCACATTGGCAAGGAGCCTGCAACACAAGAAGCTGCCATCAATTGTGCTGTTTGCCACTGCTGCAATACTTGCGTTGCAAGAGTGCAGGAATTTGGCCATTTAGCCGTTGACCATCTGCTCCTTTTCCATTGACCGTGCAGTTGAACTTACGTCACGTAACTAACATTCCTTTCCACTCCTTTGTGTGTCCTGCTTGTTCTCAAGCGTATGCGCTTCTGGCCACCTAGTCTCTCTGTGCGGCACAATCCGATGCCTTTGAGGTGAACCTTGATGACTGAATCATGTGCAAGGATCAGTGTCAGTTGGCTCCTTTGTTCAGGATCAGCAGCTGCTAGGTGAACGCACGACTTTTACCTTGGATGTCAATGCCTTGCTCCTTGAAGTAGTCACCCACAGCTTTGCGTCTGACAATCCTACAATGAAAGAACAATGATAACACTCTTCTTCCCTGTGGTGCAGCGTTGCTGTTTGGTGGGCACCCAGGCCAATGCTGACATCTATCAGGGCTCTCCTAAAGTGCAGCCTGTGGTGCTTTGTGGCACACCCGTTTTGCAAAATTGGCACCTGTTCATGAGTCACTCCTTTCAATGCACAGTTTTTTCTAGTGGATGGCCATTCTCACCCTTGCTGTGTGTCTTTTCTGCGTTAAGAACAAGACATTCGCATTGAATTTGCAGCAGGGCAAGGGATGAAATCCTTCTCTTGGAAGCGTGATCCCATTCAATAACAGGCATCGTCTCTTTAGGACTTGTGCCAAGTTGTGCCCAGTGCTGGTGGCCAGCGGCGCTTGCGAGTGAAGTGCTCAATCTTTGGATGTGTTGGACTTTTCGTTGCGCAGCAGGGGGCCAACCGGTGTTGAACGATTGTCAACATCGACTGAATGCTGACGATCAGATCAGTGCTAAATTTCCTTTTGCAACAAAGGACATGGCTGTCATTCCTCAGCAACATTGCGCACTTTGCTGGTGGCAAGAAAGGGACGTCTAGGGGCTTCCTATGCAAAACATAGCACGCTGAAAAACAAGATCCTAACAGGTGCAGGGCATGGGAATGAAGAGAAGCACTCTGGAAAGGCTCATGCTGCAACGATGGCCCCACGTGGAAAGAAAGACACAGCGGAAACAGAATGTGCAGGTGAGAAGGGAATAAAAATGAGGTTGCAGCTAAACTGTGCGAAGCTGTGGCTGTACCTACCTGAATTTCCTAGCACTTGGCTGCCGCCCAGTTGAGCTGGCCGATCGTGAAACGGCATTCAGGCCCTGCGGCAAGGGGAACTCTCCCCTTATCAGCGGTTCCCAGAAAAACCAAAAATGCCCGATCCGCACACTGCCAGCGTCACAAATGCATGTCCGTACGGTTGCCATTGCCTCTTCGCAGACCAGGCCTGCCAAGTGACAAAGGGCCTCTGAGGGAAGGGAGTGCACACCGGGCAGGATGCCACCGCTCATCAACCGCGCCGCTCGATTGCAAAACACCATTCTCGCGCTGTGCCACCATCTGCAAGCCAGCAGACCATGCGGCACATTAATTCCGACGATCGGTTCGACTGGCCCACACATTGTCTTCTCGATCCAGGAGGGACTTCCTCTTAGCCTGAGGCTCCTCCCCTCCCTCAGTGACGCGCTTCCTGCGCCCATCGTGCTCCGCGCCCTGCGTCAGAGATCGCTCCACACAGATGAGCGCCCCAAGGGCCAGGCACCCTGCGCATGTTGAACGGCCCTTTGGTGCAGCGCCGTTTGCGGACTCGGGCTTTCGTATCACCTGGAGGCAGGCAGCCCTTCGTGTGGTCATGTCGGAAGGCGGCGCCGAGGACGGGTCCATACCTTCGCTATTGCTGGTCGTGGCCTGCAGGGCTCACGCAAACAACAACGAAGGGCACACGCACACAAACGAGCACAAACGAAACTGCTCTTCGTCAGCCAGGGTGCTTCGCCCGACATCCATTGTTGAACCTCGGCCACGCAGACCCAGGTGAATTGCGAAGCGAAGCATGGTCGAAACATCCAATTCGTTTGAACGGAATGGCAGCTGCCGAGCAGCCACGTTTCTGTTTGCTTGCGTTGTTGCCTGACTTGACTTGCCCATGCTCTCAGCCTTCCACCAACGATTGTAACACAAAGTGATGGCCTTGCAGAGTGACTGTCGTGAGACGCAGAGTGAGGCTGCGGCTCAGTCAACGTCTCTAGAATCATTGAGGCTTGCTTCCTCTGATGACGCTGGCCTCGCTCATGCGTATACCACGTCCATGTGCAGTGGAACTACAGAGTGTACCAGTGGCTGCTCAGGTGAACTGGGGCCTCTGCTGCATGGCGTCCCAATGGCTGCAATTCATGGTAGTCAGACAGCCCATTGATGCGGTTGCTCAGTACTGGCAAGCCTCACAGCTAGTGTACACAACAGGGACAGCAGACGAAGCGCCAACCCTTGCCCCAGAGGGTGTCCAGGGCACTAGTGACATTCTGCTTCGATGCAGGTGAGAATGAGGCTACACAGGTGAGGCAATACCCATGGGAACGATGGATCTGAGGGCCCCCTGATTCCAGGATGTGCATATCAGTTTGGGCAGGGTGGACAGAAATGTTGTTGGCATACCCCTTCATCACCGAAGATACGTCAAAGGTACAATCCTGGCATTCAACAAGCCTTCTTTCGATCCAGCATGTGCTTCTGGTGGGCTGCAAATGGCTGTGAGGAATTTTGCACATACCGTATTTACCCGGTATTAGTATCCACCCCCTTCTTTTTTTTTGAATTCCAATGTATTACATACACTATAGTTCGAACAAAGGGACTCCCCCGCTAATCGGAAAGCATGGCGAGCCCTTTTCCAGCAAGAGCCGATGTAGGGTCCCAAACAGTACCGGTATGAGCAGAGTAACTTCTTTGGGTGGTGAGCCCCGCGAAAGGCTGCGGGGTGGACTGGCTGCCGTTGGGGTTTTGAGCACAGGATCGCTGGGCGACGACCGACGCCACTAGGCCTGGTCAAACAAGCGATCGAGAAATCCAAGCCGCCCTGGTTCCTAGGTTGAGTCAACCTGCTCCCAGGCCGGCCAGAGCGGGTTCTGGTGATGCCTGCTGAGGGCGCCCCAAGGCCCATCGCCAGGAACGGGCAGACGATGGCGCTGGTCAGGGCGGCCACCGTTGCGAGACAACATCTCGCAAACTGGCTTAGACACGCCGGGGCGCCGTGTCACGACGATGGACTTGGCCCCCGGCGCTTTCCCGGGCTGATGCTGACTTGGATAGCTGATGGGAACTGTGCTTGGCCAATCGCACAACAAACGCAGGGGTTTGTGGCCTGGTAGCTGTGCGATTTGGGGACGGGCCCTGCCTTTGCGGCGTTTTGCGGGCCATGTCGCTCCTCGTTGTTCGCATCGCGGGGGCAAACGCGCCTTGAGCATTCCAGCGAACCCCTGCTGGCACCAATCGCCAGTCGCCCCCACCTGGTGCAGCCCCAAGTCCAGACCGCTGGCTCCCGTGAAGAGGTTGGCAACTCTCAGTAATGGCATTGCCGCTAATAATATGGTGTCGTCAATAGTGTGGTGTCTATGATTTGCAACTTGGAATTCTTAATGTTGCTTCCTATGCTCTGCAGCTTACACCATTTCAAGACCATTTTTGGGGCATTTCACGATCTGTGTTTCAAAAATCTTCTTTGTCTACTCCTCAGACCCACTATTAGTAACCACCGCTCATTTTGGGGGTCCAATACACGCCTACTAATAACGGGTGAATAAGGTGGTGCAAGATGCAAGTTCTGTGGGCCTTCCACAGGACAGACAATTCTCCATTCGCCTGGAGGTTGCTGGCCATTCCACCATGTTTCGAAAAGAAGGCATCAGCTGGCGCTGCTACAAGCATTTGCCCAACGAAGTGTGTGAGGCATCCTCATGCTGCCCCACAAGTGGAGAATCTGTGCCAGTCTCAGGACGGCACATTGACACAGAACAAAGCTCCTCAACACTCTGCGTAATGCACAATCTCCAACCAGACCATCACTACAACAAGTTTTGTACCGATAACAGCAGTCTACACAGACAGCCATGGTGTGATGTGGACTTGTCCCAGTAGAATCCAATGCCACCATACAAATTCACACTTCCATCTTTTGTGACAGCCTTTAGCATAGGTGCAAGCTCCTCGGACCGATGGGTTCCCCTTGTGTGATGTTGCCATTCCTTGACTATTGTTGGGTCAAGCTCCAAAGGAAGGTTGCCGCACGGCATTTGCAGCACAGTAGCAAGGCAAAACATACAAAACTCCATTGTCCCAAAAGAATGATGCCAACCTCCCTTGTGCGTCACAGGAGGCTGCAGACCAGGGCAATACAGGCATACTTTTGGAATGCCAAGTATTCCGGAACCCGCAAATTACACCTCACATTACCTCAAAACTTTTGGCATTCCAGTACAGCCCACTATCTTCTGTCGTTTACCGTGGTGATACGGTGATGTTCTCAGGCTTCCCTGTGAGACTCCCCTTCCTCAGCTCCTGGATGGTCTCCGGAGGCCAGGCAAATCCGCCCAATAAGCACTGGAATGCCAGAGGGACATCGATGATGATCTCCTTCTGAGTGGGAGATTTATCTCCCCTAGTCTTGGCCAGGCCTGGCCACTACCTAGTTGGTCGCGGCCGGTGTAGCCGATGTAGCCGGCAATGTAAACAAACAGGACAGCAGGTATCTGCAGCAACACAGGCAACAAAAGCCAAACATGAAAAAGGATACATTGAAGGGAATCGCAGTGTGCAGCTCCCTTGAGAAATCGCAAAAAATTCTGCACCAGGGTCGTTCCCTGCTCAACTATGGGCAGCATGGGCAGCCAGTAGGCCAAACGTTCTTCACAAGCCGGCAGGGACTGTTCTTTCATCACCAAGTAGATGCAATGTCTTCTCTAAACAGGAAAAGCGCAAGTGCAGTGGGAAGGAGAATCTGCAATTTCAGAAACTGCTTGTCTCCAAAATGCTGCGCATCTTCCGATAGTAAGCAAGATGCCAAGCCTGATGACTTACAACGACGTCACCAGCGTGGCCGTATTCCAGGGCGAAGCCTGGATTGGCGATGAGATGGGGGAGACCATCAGCACCGCACAGCAAGCCTGATCTTGCGTAGAAGTCAAACCTCTTGTTGGTCTCGTCCATAGGAGCTGCAGGGCGATGGCAGGTGCACTGTCTGCCTCGTACAGCACACGCCGAAATGTAGCACACATTGAATACCCCCAACCTGCCCATTTGCCCAAAGTGCCCAAACAACAGTCGAGGCCCTGACACAACAATGCCAGGATATCAATGTTGCACGGGCACCAGTGAAATCTGCAGGTGCCTGCCTTGATTAATTGCTTGTTAATGCGTGGCATTCTCAGCTCAACTCAAGGGCCTCGGGTGCATCACCTTAAGTACAAGGGGCAACCTGCTGCTGGTCTTGGAGCCTGTGGACTCTTACACACTTGCATGGCAGATCTCCCTTTGAGCCAATGCCATTGACGGAATGGAATCCGCGCTGGTGACCGTCTGTCACTGGTGCAAAAACCAAACCTGCTTGCAAGTACCCTACAGTTTGAAAGTGCGCAAGGTAAGCCAGGCATGCATCCACCTTGGCCATTCGCTTCTCCCGAGCGGATATCTCTGCTTTGAACAACATGGCGCCGTTTATTTAGGCACCCTTCTATCCTTCTCAGCCATTGATCTGCCTTATCATTTTTATGTTTATCCAGCACTGCGCTGGAGCAATGCCTCGTGTGCAAATGATGATGAGGTTCGTCGTAAATGTGTTCTGAGAATATATGGCAACTTCGTGTCCGACAAGTATGGTCGAAGGTTTTTTGCCTTCACGACAGGTTTAATGCCTTGAAAAGCAATGTTTGTGCAGTCGGGAATAACCACTGAGAATTCTGCAACTGTTCAGCCTGCGGGTACTGCTGGAAAGCAGTGCAAAGGAAACAAACAAGGCAGTGAGGCCCCGCAACAAAAGCAGGGACTTTCTTCAGGAAATTCACGTGTATTGCTTTGACCTGGCCATCTTGTTAGATGACCAGGCTGGCAGGTTAAAATCAAGTACTAGTTCAGTAATACAACAAAGCACAGGACAACAACAAAATGGGCAGCGATTCACTGGTCATTGGCCCCTGCACAGTGCATTTCCGCCACCAGTACACCAAGTACGAACAACTTTTGAACAGATGGCTGATGGCCAGCCAGATGCTTGCTCGATCCAAGCAGATGCTCCTTAATACACAGCAAAGGACCACCTCACACAGCGAGTAGGACACAGCAGGGCGTGCAACACAGCAGGTTCCAACCCCCTACCCTTGCCACCAGCCTGGAACCCCCCCTCATACACTCCCAGACAGCTCCTTTTTCAGAAACTGTTGAGTAAGTGCACACATCCTTTTTTCAGGGATTCAGTCGTGCACTTGTTGTACTCACACTCCAAACATGCATTTTCAGCATATGTCCTCAAAACGGAGTCTGAACTTCAGATTCTTATTCAGAAACTGATTCTGCAGCTTTGCATGATCGTCCATCTCCTTATACAGGAGCAATACCACTTTTTCAGCGGTGAACATCTACCAGATCATTCAAACTTACAGGGCAGCGCCACTTTTGCAGCGGCAGCTGCACACTACCACTTTTGCAGCAGTAAGCATCAACCAAACGTGTCCAATCTCATCAGCTGTACCACTTTTTCAGTGGCAGCCCGTTACAACCACTTTTTCAGTGGTATACACCAGCCAATGTTGCACCACTTGCAACAATGGCAGCACCACTTTCACAGTGGTAAGCAGATTCCAGCCACTTTTTCAGTGGCAAGCACCATTTGCACCAGGCCAAGACGCCAAAAGGGTGCCCGAGCTGGAAAGTCACATCAGCTCAGTGCCATGCCGGGGAAAGTGACATCCCGGCATGTTCCCTAAAGCGCATGCCTGTAAACTGAGCGGCTGGGGACACAGCCCCACAAACGCACATCAGAGTGACCCCATGGCTGGAAAGAACCATCAGCCAACGGAGTACACTCTAACATACAGCGAGACCAATCACAAACGCTCTGACTGGTCCAAAGCTCCTTGTCCAGGAGTCTTTCCTTATCTTTGTCACTTGTTCAGTGGCTTTTTCACATTTTTCCGATCTTGTCACTTATTCAGCGACATTCAGAGCACCAGAATAAGACCAGCGTCTGGGGCAAACGAAGAGTAGGCAGGCTGGGCAACACACCAGCACATCCCCATGTTGAGGCAAGACACATCTCAACATGCTTCTTGGGGCCCAAACGACTGAAGAATACGGTCCAGAGCACAGCTCTAGGACCATTAGTTCAGACCCTACCCATAGCTGGAAAGAGACATCAGCATATGGGGATTGGATCTGCACCAAAATGATGTGATGAAACGGCCGGCGGCACAGCCAGCCCGTACATTTTCTCCACAACAATATTTCAGCTGTGGGTGATGGATGAACAAGTAAACACATGCAGCCCTTGCATGGGGTAGTCCACCCTGGAAAGAACCATCAGGTGTGGGCCCACACTTTTGGTCGTGCATGGTTTCTTTCTAGCCTTCTTCAGGCCAGCCACCCCTTAGCCTTGCGCAATCGGCTTCGAGGCTGGACACACGCCCAAACTGGGCGGTACCCTTATTCAGGACACATAGCCCCACCAGATATTGAGAGCCGCGGTCAATACCGGTGAGGCAGCTTTCACGGAAATACTCTTGCAGCATAGGGTGTCACTCAGTCGTCACCAAGTGCCCCTTGAGGCAAAGCTCCTCTCAACTATCATGACCAGCTTGCCATACTACAAAAAACGCAAGCTCTTGACCAGTTTTTGTTTTGCTTTTTACTTTTTTCTCTTTCTAGCCGGTGGTGGCATACTCGGGCCATCCCACACAGTCAGCATGCGTGTCAGACGTGAGTCCCTCGCCAGCTGAATCATAAGTGACTCACCCAGTGAAACGGTGGTCATTATGCAGCTGCGCGAACACGTGTTTATTCCGTACCCTTATCTTGGAGCCCACGCACCGATGAATGTTCCATCCTGACAGCGCACAGCTGCCAAGAGGCGACAACAGAAATCGCAGTCACTTCGCTCATTCAAGCTCTTCACGCCGCCCAGGAACTGAGGCCTGTTCTCTGCAAATTTCAAGCTGCATTGCCGATGCTGATGGCGCCTGGGGTCCCTCGGACGCACCGGACCGCCAGCCAGGCCAGCTGGTTTGCATGTACTACAAAAAGGGACAGTCCAGGTATGCAACACCTCGGGGCCAACGGGCCTTGCCAGCGCGGTGGCTGCCGGCTGAGTCGGGTTCGGCGCAGTGGAACCTGGCGCAAGGAAATTTGGAGCCATCCGGCAGGGGCGGGTAGGCGCGAAGAGCTCTGTTTTGACGCCGGCCGTTCGCGGGGAGCCAGCTAGTGGCTGACGAAGGATCCTGCCCGGTGGCGGTTCGCCGAATAACCGACACGGTCCAGGTATTGATGATGATCATCGTCTGGGGGCCTGGCCAGGGTCTCGGGTAGGCCGTCGCTGACAAGCCTTCTGGCGACGTCGCGATCGGGCATGGCCGCGGGATTTCGTCGAGGTTAGCCATCGGCGCTGTGCTTCTCGCAGCCCCTGCGGCGTCTTTCAGCCGTTGCTTGTCGCTTCTGTCCAACGAGCTTGGGCCGATAACATACATTGGAAGCTGCAGCACGCGTTGTGTATCTCAGATAGTTACAGCCGACCAACGTTGAGCGCTGGGTGTTCTTGTGCGCGACCGACATGCGGGTCTGCGGCTTCGTAGACGTCGCAGTCTGTTGGCCGCGAGGGGGTGGGTGCCTGCCTTGGAAGCTGCTGACCAAAGTGGAAGTAAAAGACAGCAGCGGATGCTTCAAAAAGCGCGTGTTTCCATGATGGTTTCCTTGTGGCAATGTTTTGCTCAGCTATCTGCGACTGGGACGGCGTCAAAGACATGGACGTCTTGCAAGCATGCAATATGGTCTTATGCATGCTGCCCATTCTTCCCTTGTGAGGACAGCTGCGAAATCAGTCCGATTTCTCGCACGTGCACAACATGAGACGTTTGACGTTGCTGGAAATGTCCAGAAACGAACCAAGCACTCGTCGCCGCTGCTGCTGCCAAAATCTCGAAGCCTGTAAGACGAGTCGGGCAAGGCAGCCAACACACCAATGTCACTTTGGCCGAATATTGCATATGCATGTGGAGTTCTCACAGATGCTGTAGCAACCAAAGCTTGTGGGTGACTGCCGTCCTATGTGAAAGTACCGTGGACAATCTGTCAAATGGATGTTCCCAGCTCGCTGAACATTGCAAAGCCACTTGCAGCCAATATGCATCCTTAATATGGCCCTAGAATCGGCACAAAGTGGGCAGCAAGAACAGCAGCTTCTGTTGCTGCTATTGCTGCCACTTTGCGCTGCCACCTCTTGTAGTTGCCTCTGAACATCAGTTAATCAGAGGGAACATGCGTTCCTGTTCGGAAAAAAATAGTGCACAAGGAGTTCAGCAGTAGTTGCATGCACCGATAAAGGTGCTTGTGTATGTATTCCGCACATCACCGATGCCTTCTTTGCTTTTGGGTTTTGCAGGCAAAGCATTAGTTATTCTGGATATGGGTCAAGCTCCTCTGGCAGCTCTCTTCATCTGCAGCCTGCTTTCTGTTGTCACACAAGTTAAGGGACAAACCGTGTCAGCGTTGGAACAGGTACGAACAAATGTGGATTCCCAATGTGCGCTGCATGGTTTGCTGTATTCCACATTCCGTGCCATGCTGGAGACTGTGAAAGAAAAAGCATCACTGTTTCTTGTTGCTTCGCCCCTCAACCTCAACATCCTTCGTGTCTTTGCTTGTAAGAGCTCACGATTCTCTTCGTATCGTCTCCTGAATTATGTTCTTCCTTCTAATTCTCAACCATATTGTGGTGTTGACATCGTGTTTCTGGGTTGTTGTCAAAGAGACTAATCGATGCTGCACGGGAAGGCAACCTTGAGGTTGTAGAACGATTAATCCGCGGTGGCGCAAGAGTCAATGTGATTGACAACACTGGCACCACTCCCTTGCACTGGGCTGTGTTCGGAGGCCATCAAGATGTCACCAAGGAGCTGATTGCTCAGGGTGCATTGGTGAACGTGCCCGACGTTGATGGCTTCACTCCCTTGGACACTGCATCCCAGAAGGGATTCACAAAACTAGTTCAGCTCCTGATCAAGGAAGGGGCCAATATCGAAGCAAGGGACAACGATGGTGGAACTGCCCTGTATGCAGCAGCTGGCAAAGGACACGTTCGTGTTGTTGAGGTGCTGCTGAGCGCTGGTGGGTTCCCAGCATGCAAGCCAAATGATCTCCACAACAACCAGTGCAAAGTTATCTGTGCTGTTGGCGTGTCTGTGCACTGGGGTAGGCAGCTTTTTCAGCAAGCAGACCGTGAACAACCCCGTACAACTCTAGTCGAAGGCAGCGCTACTTTGTGTTGTAACAGTGGTCATGATCTTGGCCATTTATTTTGGCCACAGTGGCGAGCTGTCCTACAAGTGCCGTCAATGCCCATTCTTCCTCCTTCTGCAAAGATCGGTCCAGCCACCTACACGATGAGGCATCTGGCAGAAAGAATAAGATAAACATCACCGCAGACAGGCAGGCAAAATTGCACAAATGTCTGTGTTCAAGGTCTCGTGTGCTGATTGACACATCATTGGAAACAGGGGCTGATGTGGAGTCCCGCTTCACCAAGACGGACGACACAGCTCTCTTGTTTGCAGCTTCTGAAGGCCATGACGAGGTTGTATCTGTGCTGGCCAAGGCCGGTGCTGATGTCGAAGCCAGAAATCGCATTGGCTTCTTTCCTCTCTACCAGGCGGCCCTTCGTGGCCACGACGCCGTCATTCGGGTCCTGCTGGAGGCAGGCGCATCACCTGACGACTCCCTGGAGACAGATGGCGAGACTTCCCTTATGGCAGCTGCCTTTGGTGGCCACGTTGGTGCTGTGCAGGCTCTCGTCGATGGTGATGCAGATGCCAATGCACAGAATTCCAGGAGGAAAACTGCATTACACCAGGCACCCCTTCTGGTGAGCTTCCCACTGCAGCTATTGTGCAAGGCATGCTATTGCTGACGATGGCTTCTGACTTTGGCATTTCAGGACTAAAGACACAGTCGCTAGTGCATTTGCAACATTGAGCTAGACAGGCAAAACACGATAGTGCCAGTTTGTGCAGCAACAGTGGTCGGCAGTCAAATCGCAGACATTTCTAAGGAGCTCACCCCCTCATGGTGCTTGGCCGTGGTTGGCTGCTGGAGTATTCAGTATGAATAGAAGGTGTACACCGGCTATTAAGCTGATGTTCTTTTGCTGTGCAGTTTGACCGCATAGGCGTGGCTAAGGCCCTTGTCGAGGCAGGGGCATTTGTGAACCTGGAAGACAACAAAGCAAACACCCCCTTGCACATCGCCTCCCAGTTCGGCGCCAAGAACATTGTTTCCTACCTTCTCACAGTTGGTGCTGACCCCGAGGCTGTCAACAGTGAGTCGCTGACGCCTCGCGAGATTATCTGCGACTGTCTGGAATTCGCGGAGTTCCCCTCGTCACTGCAGTGCCCAAAAGGAAAATGTGACAGCGGAGATGACATCAGCAGCATACGCAGAATCATCGATGGGGAAAGAACGGTGGGTGGCTTTTGGCAGGTTCATTTGGCTGAATCTCACAAAATGAAACATACAAATGGACTTGACCAGACAGTTACCAATCAGCAGACAGTGGCACGGTTGTCCATAGTTGGCATCTGTCCTTGTGTTATGTGCGCAAGTTGCTACCACAGATTTCACTTGGTGCTCTAATTATGGACATGCATGTGCACGTTGTCTGATCCACAATGCTGGAAAATGAATTAGCAAGTGACAAATCTTTGGTTCTGCTTCACACTTTGGTGCTGATTTCCTGTCCTGTCCACGTGAAACAGGCACTGGAACAGGAATGATGTACAAACACTGCATCAAATGGACTTAGTCTCAGGCTCTTGTGTCAATGGGCACAATGTCAAGAATTCTCTTAACCAAGAAAGATAACATATACACCAGTTTGGCAAGTGCCAATTGTCCAGTGTGATGAGCACCTAACAGAGTTGACCGCTGGCATGGAAAAGGCAACGTTGCAGCCCAATGGACGCATGAGCTTCTGGAGCCAGCCACCTACTGCATCAGCCTTCCCAGTCACAGCTCATCGCAGCACTCAGTGCAATGCAGCCCATAATGCCATAAATTCATGGTTGTTTAGTGTCTACTGATCCTGCACACATTTTTAGACATTAATCTTGTAAAATTTTCAAAATTCTCAAATGTCAGGGAAAAACTTGTCCTAGCGCGTGGTCTGTGACAGTGCCAGGAATGGCATACGGCTGTTTGCTCAAATGGCCTGTTTGCTCAAATGCTGATTTGCGCACAATATCATAGAAACCAAAGAAGCCACTGGAAATCCTGTCAGCTTTGCAGCAAATGATATTCAAATGGGATGGCCGGATCGCTTTAGTCTTTACACATCATAATCTACAGCAGCAAACCTACAAAATCCCCTTGGATCATAGGACATGACAATGAGGCAATGAACAGCTGGCCACTGAACCTACTATCCAATCCTTGCGATCAACACCCTCCCAACATCCAGTTCTTGCATTCAGCTGCATGACATACTGAACATACCCTTTTGTACACACGGCCCACAAACTGTCATCAGCACATACATATTGCGCACTACAACACTCTCCCATGTCTGCAACGTATCTTCATTCAGAATGCTGTGAATTCTTACCGTTGCATTTGTCACTTTGCATGCCAGCATCTCACACACTGCAGAACCCCCACACTGCCAAGTTTCCTTTCCCCCGTTTGTTTCGCACAGATCTGTAACAGCCTGCATTGGAAGCACCAGTGCCAGCTGCCACCACACCTTTGAGAAATCGACTATCGAAGAAAACGGAAATGGCTGGACATGACAATGGTCCATTGTATGCACATTGTGAAGGCCATTGTATACATTCGCAGGACACTGACACCGTGGCACTGGATGACCTGGATGATGACGATGGGCCAGGTGCTCTGCCCCCCACTGCTTCCGATCGTCCTCTTTTCGATCCTGCTGCAGATGTGACAGAAGACGGCACTACAAACGCTGTTACTATAGGCAGCACACAGACACCCCCTGCAGCAGTACCCGATGCTGGGGATGGATTTGTAGTGCTTGAGGGAGGAGTGGGGGCTACCCATGGTGGTAGGTGGCACTGAATGGGAGTCGCAACGTGCTGCCATCAGCTATTCTCAGGTTGAAAATGTACCTGCAAGTGCGCAGTCTGGATGGTAGGCTGGGAAGAGTGCAGCAGCTCAGCAGCTCAGCCTGGCACTGCCTTCAAAGTCACTGTACAATGTCTTACCAAATATTGTCTGAGGGAATCAATGCATAACTCCATCGGTAGCAATACATAATTCACTTGCGATGGTTCTTCTTGCTGCCACATGTGGGCATATGTGTGTTCCTTGATATTCCTGTTGCACTCAACGTCCTCTGAATCATCTTCTACAGCATAAAAATCTTGCACAAATGCCTCCCATTGCGAGGGGCACTGCTGTATGAACTGGTACCCTTTGTTCATGGCAAATTTCTTGTGCAATTTTGTAAGCAACTATGGCAACGTGGACATGCTGTATTCGCTGTTCCAGGCACATAGACTACAGATGGTCACCGGAGTCGTTAGCGAAGAAGCTGTCAGCAATGGCAGCGAAATGGATGGCATCACCAAAGGTGTCCGAATCTGCTCTTGAGGCCATTGAAATGTGGACAAATGGTCACTCTCCAGTATGCAGATCTCCAAGGCATTTGGGCTGCCCAGCAACAGGTCAACATTTGCCATTGTATCATAAACTTTGGGAGCACTGCAGTGAATCCATTCCTTGCAAAAGGGACAATGCAAGTGCCAGAGTAGCTCTCAAGAGGATTAGATCATGCAGGGGAACGCGATCTGACAATAACAGATGATGGTGGTGGCCCTACAAAGCAGTGCAGTGATCGCCCTTTTTAAAAGTGTAGGTAACATATGTACCTTTTGAAGGACTACAAGGGTTCAGGGGATTGATTTGTATTGTGTGCAATTGTGCTTCTTGGGCATAGAGGCATCGCAAGAGCTTGTGGACAAACACAGCACATAAGATCTTGTGTGATATCGGACATCGCTGGCACTTTGAACCTGTCATATCCCAGTGCACCTCCATGCTTACAAGAGGAAATGATCAGAAAGTCAGCCCTGCAAAACCCTGCAACAATCTCTTGCTCACGCTGACTCCAGGATGTTTGAAACCAGATCATCTATTTCCTGCATTCGCTCCTTCACCGCATTGGCCAGGAGCACTTCTTTCTGCTCTGTTGACGCAAACTCAGATGCAGTCATGCTGCCTGCTATGAATTGTTGTGGTACATTCCCTGTGCAACAAAAGCAGTACTGTCACCACTATGTACACTGTTGTTGGAAGTTGCAAGGTGCAGGTCAGTGCTTTTCGCAATCAAGGCCCTTTCTTATCATGTGTTTGTGGTGCATGCAAGCATAGAAAACAAAAGCAAGCCGATGCTCCGTTCACTGCAGACACAAAGGTTGCATACTCACTGCATTTTAACAGAATGAAGCCATCTGCCTCGCCTCCATCCGGAGTCTTGTCGCCAAAGATGAGCTTCTCGGTTTCTGCCTTCACATTCATCATCGTTTGAAGTCTGTGCTTGACTAATGACTCGATGGGGGCCACGTCCTTTCCATCAGCAACAGCTGCCAGGTACAAGATGGACTCCCAGAGACAAGCAATCTAGTTTACACAAGTCGGCATTAGTGACACATCAATAGTAGCGAAACCCAGTCTCTACTGCTTTATGAAACTTTTATCAGCAAATACCAATGTCCATACATGGATCAGCCAGCTTCAAGGCCACGAGGTGACAGCTCCTTGCGCTTTGAGCGAAACTGTCAAGCAGTGGACAAGTAGCCTCAAGCCAGGACACATCAGGCAAGCTCCAACCAGCCGCAAAACTCATCTGCAGGCATGTGCTGACCAGCTACCAGAGTGCAGCTGGTGCAACCACAGTGACGTTCCAGCAAGACTGATGTGTTTCATGCAACAGCCCTCAGCTTCTGTCTTATCTAGCTTTCTGCACACTGCTCATCTCCAAAGCTGGAAACGTTTGGAACACAAGAAGCATGGGCTTTGCTTTTCAATAGGGAACACCTGCATTCAATAGAATTCACCCACAGCCTAACCTGGCAACTGGGGATCTTCAACTCGCGCTGTAACCTTCGCCCTGCCTGGCCAGGAATCGCCAGCCGATTCCTTTTGCTCCTGCAGGTCGCAGTGCTATTGCTGGCACTGGGAGCTGTTGCCATGTCATTCTGGGTGTTTTCTTCTAGGGAGGCACCATTGGGCTCATCACCAGATGTGGCTGCCAACGTGTACTACAAAACACAGCACAAAAACCATCATGGGAGTGACAGCTGTGCTAGATCTTCACCACAACAAGGCATTTTACAAGAACCTGCCTGACAGTTCAGACACAGACATGTGTAAGCCAAAACAAATGTTGCGGCCAATTGAACTTCGTACTAGCTGTATATTCGCATCAGCTGCTCCAGCATCTGCACATCACAGGCTATATGCAGAAAGATAGCGGATCGTCAGTTATATCCAATAGCAGAGCATCAAAGCCTTCAATTATCAAATGCATCAAAGCATAAAACTGCTTCATGAACTGGTTTGTTGCCGGCTGTGGCTTGGTTGACCAGCATGACATTCAGTTGATTGTTGTGTAGATTGCAACATTGCACACTTGGTTGTCCGTACATTGTGGAATCAACAGGATATCTAAGAATAAACCAATGATGAAGACTGGCCGGTTGGACACAACAACAATGAAATAAGTTCTTGGTGTGTCCAACAGGCGTTTCACTACAGAGGCCCTGTTGCCAAATGATGTTCACAATGTACTGACGTGTTGGCATATCAACCAACAGTTTCAACACATGAGCATCCAGCTTCGCAGCCTATCAGAGAAGTGTGGTGTGCTGCCATGCTCTGTGTCTCACAACACAGAAAATGGCAACAGTTCTCTGCGGATCTGTGCAAAATGCCTTCACCTGTGTTTCCGAGTTTTCTGCACAGGTCAAGCCTTCTGTCACTTCGGTTGGCGTGAATGGAAGACGAATTTGCCCTGTACAGTTCTATTTTTGCGTTTGTGCTGTGATGTCTGTTACGAGGATCTACAGCAAACTAACATATTCCCGCAAGGTCAGGGCACTGCATGAGAATCTGATCATTTGCTGCTGCCCCAATAGCAGTGGGTCTGCAACGCTGATGTCTGATGATGCCTACCTGTGACACAAGTGGCCTCAGCCATGTGCATTCAAGCATGGATTTCAGTGCCAGCTTGTCGCGGATGTGCTTCACCTCATCTGTAGGATCTTCCAACTGTTAAGAGGCAACAACAATTCGATTATTGCTGCACTTCGTCATTGAATGGCAGCAGTGTCCAACATGCTTGGGTAGTAAACAGTTTTGCCAGTAGTGCAGTAGTGCACCACTGCAAACCCACAACAGTGACCATGACTGCAGGAATAGTACAGGGAACGTCGCCTCACAAGCCAGCAATGCTTTCCACTGGTCAGGACTTTCCGATGAGAATGACCAGCAGAATTAAAGTATAATTGGGAGATAAATGGGACGATGACACAGAGGCGCACTGGCAACCCATGCAGTAGGTATTCAGACATGCACTCAAAAGAACTGAACCATGGAAGAGATTCCTGGAGCATGAGTAGTGAAGAGACATGGGAACCTAAAACTATCACACTCACACAGCCCAGCTGGCAGCATACATCCACATACCGTTACATCCATGGCGTTCTCTTCTTTGGCACCAGAGTACACGGCCTCAACAAGGAGAGTCCCCACACCATTGTTCTGATATGGTGGCAGCACAAGGATTTGTGCCAGCCTTTTTCGCACACTGTCTGGGAAGACATAGAAGTTGTAGACAGTGCTAAAACCGACCTGTGAATGTGGCAGGAGACTTCAGCGCTGCAAGAAATAATACAGCACGCTCAAGTTGCAATTTAGTCCACCTGCAGACACACCCTGAAGGTAACTGTTTGCAGCAGCACAAGTGCCTCTTTCTCATTCTCACAGGCACAATTCAGCAACTGTTGCAGAGATCACGTTGATGACAAAGCATGGTTTACGTTCGTGTGCAGAGCAGCACCCTAAGCAGCCATCAATGGCAACCAGGCTGGCAATACTGCATTCCTTCTGCGAATCTGCCAGCTCCAAAAAATCATATGGCAGCAACAGCTTTGTGGGTGGAACAGGGCAAATATCTCAATGCCAATCTGCTAGACTGTTTGATGGCCTGAACGTATTGATCACAGGTATCGAATGGTGCCAAGGATTGCTTGAACACAAGATGAAGGTCAAGTGCATTTTCAGTGCACTTATGTGCTCCTGACTCCAGCTTACCACACGGGTTGTGTCTCCTTGCTGCTGCAGAGCAAGGTAAATGTCCCATTTGGGGTCTCCATTGTCAATCGACGATGCTCCATCAACAAAGTACAACAGCAGGGGCTCCATGCGGGCGTGCAGGGCCTAGCAAACAAAGGCGAGTGAATTCACTCCTGTTTCCAACGCCATTGCAGCCAGAAAGGCGGTTCTCAAGCGACAGGCGCTCAGGTGGTGCTGTCTCGTCGGATGGACGATTGCCACACCCTGCTTCAGCGAGGAGGGACATTCTGTTGACGAGCAACCAACGCATCCCCATTTCGCAATCACTATCAAAAATGGAATGGGAAGGTCATATTACCTATGAAAATCGTTTGGGGGCGCTCTTCCGCACCACAAAATGTGCCGCCACCCCACAAATACACAAGTAAAAATACACAAGGAAGCACCCAATGCCCAGCAAGCAAACGTCCCCACGCGCCGAAACGACGACCCGGCAGTCGCTGCACCTTCAGGGCGTCCGATGCGGTGCTCAGCCTCGCGCAGACGACCACCGTCTCCCCCTCCGGCTGTGGCCTCCTGCCCACAACGCGTCCTTCCGCCATAAAGTCCGCCACCGGCTCCCCGCCCACCGCCCGCTCGAACTCCTCCCTGCCGGACGTCAGCCCCGCCCCCCACGCCGCCCCCATCTTCCCCATCACGTCCTCGCTCTGTGGTCGCCTGCGCTCAAACGCCACGCTCGCCATCGCGAAGAACGTCCTGGCGCTCAACCAGACGTCCACGCGCAAGCCCATGTACCCATGAATCTCCTCTTCTTCGCCGAACACCTGATGCGTGTACTCCGGACTGAACACCTCGCCGCGGCCGTGATCTAATTCCGTGCCCGCCGACCGCGGCGGGAAATCGTCCAGCAGGTGGAACCGGAGGGCATCGTTGGCGCTGGCCACCCACTCGTCCGGCCGCCCATCGCCGTTGTCGATCCTCGGGCGCTTGGCCGGCGGCTGCGGCGCCGCGGCATTGCCATCCGCGCCGCTCATGGGAGGCGGGCGCCGACGCTGCGCCTGCGGGTTTCGGGGCGCGAGGCTGGGGGTCCCGCCAGCTGGGGGTGGAGGGCCAGCACCCTTTTCTGGCAGCGGGCTGGTCGGGCTGGTGCTGGCCAATGTACCGGGGTTTTGATGGGGGCAAGATAAAACACTGTTACAGCTGGAACTGATTGAGTGTTGTTACGCAAGGCTCGGAGTGGGACTATATCGGAGGCAGGCACAGCCACGGGCTTGGGGACACAGCTGAGGGTACAGAGTTACAGATAGGTCACGGACAGGCATGTCCCTTTATAGTCATACAGCCATCTCTCAACGACGGACCAGTCATTGTCATATCATTCGCCCCCAACACACATAGAGCGTCGCCCTCGACGTGTAATCACCTCAACCAAGCAAACCAAGGGAACCAAGAAACTTGTAGAAACCATCATCAAGAAGTCATTCAAAACTTCAGACACTTGGCCAGCCGTCATGTGCGGGGGCCTTGAACACGAACACAAACCCATCACAAAGGAACATATCGAGAATCAGAGCATCAGCTCAAGAATCCATCAAACACTTGGCCAGCCGTCATGCGGGGCCTTGAACACGAACACGAAAACCGGTCTCAAAGAAACACATCAAGAGCCAGAGCATCGGCTCAAGAATCCATGGAAAGAAATCAGATTCGGAAAGGAACCATCAAACTCAAGAGCAACACGTCTTGGCGAACCTCGCCACCTCCATGGGGCATCTCAACAACTCGACCTAAGCTGACCCATCGGCGCTCGGTGTGCGCCCCCAACAACAGCGACAATGCCATGCCCAGTGCATCGGAATTGCTACGTGGGCTTCGCTCATGCTCTGCCACGTACTCGCTTAACATTGTGGTAACCCCCGACCCCGTACCAGTGTGACGGGTCTCCATGTAGGACCACACTGTCAGCTGGCACGAGCTGACACGAGCTGCCGTCCTGCTGACTCTTCATCACGCAACCCTTGCTGCGGGGCCGTGCGTGCTGTGTGCCAAGCACGTGATCTCTCCGACGCAGCCATCCACTCAAGTTACCACTTCCGACCAATGGCGTGGTTCACACTCGCCCATCACCGCTCAGCGGTGCCGTGTTGGCCTCCATCGCAACTCTGCCATCGTAACTCCAGCGAACGCACAACCGCGGCGTTGACGGAACTGACCCGCGCGTCGTCCACCGCCCTCAGTCACGCCTTCGTTGCGCTCGCCTCAGCTCTCGCGCGACCGCTCCACGTCCATCGCTGGACGCCATTCATCACGTCGCCTCTCCCACGCACCACAGCATGAGGCGGCACAACGCTCGCGCGCGCCTCGGCGTCATACCATGCCACGCAGCTGCATAGTCCTGCAGTCCCACCCCTGCCTCGGGTGCCACATGTTACGCAAGGCTCGGAGTGGGACTATATCGGAGGCAGGCACAGCCACGGGCTTGGGGACACAGCTGAGGGTACAGAGTTACAGATAGGTCACGGACAGGCATGTCCCTTTATAGTCATACAGCCATCTCTCAACGACGGACCAGTCATTGTCATATCAGTGTTATTAATAATTGAATGTATGAAAAGATGATGAAGCCTTAGGAATTGCATTAAGGATGTTGATGAACGAACTGAATATAAAAGACAGAACGCTTGTTGTCTGTTTGCCTCGGCTGTAAACCGTTGCCGTGGACTCGAGCGTACAATTCCCATTCAGGGATCGCCACCCCTCGACCTTGCCTACCTTCGTCAACACCATTGCCCATCACGAACAATTCTGGTTTTTCTTCTTGCGCAAGATGATTCAAATTGGATCCAAACTGGCAATTTGTGTCCGAATTAGATTTCAAATGAACTGCTTTGAACGCCAGACGGGTCCCTGTTTAGGACAACTTGCTCGGCCAAGAACTCTGGAATATGCCCTGGTTAGTACATTGCCGCGCTCAAAATGCCAACCGGCCCCAACTCGAAACGCGGAAGAATCGACGACTTCCTGCATTTTGCCCTAAATTCCCCAGAATGGTCATTGTTACAACTTCATAGCGGGTGCCCATTGCCACCAGGCTGTACGCAAAAAAGAGTCGTCGGGCTCCTGATAGCATTTCTGCAATGCATTGAACTACACCGTGCGACCAGCAACTTGCCTCCTTGCCATGCCGCACACTTTCCAGTTCCAGCGGTACACTGACTTGGATATGTAGCCGCACGGCCCCGTGTTTCCGACGAAGTGTGATGCGCGGGCGGTATTGTGCTTCCCGTGCGTTGTGCCTCACATGGCAACTAGATAGATGGTCTGTCATGTGTATGGCCTTGACGATGGCCACGAATTCCACTGCCAACCACCTCCACAGCCGCCCAAGTTCCTGTTGCCACTCTCACATTCACCGACGCTGTGCCACAAATTTCAAATGCGAGGCCCTTTGCAAGACTGCGTATCGATGGCCCTCTGTTTCTGAGCGCCACGCGCGTAGGAAGTGGTGCCCCCAGGGGAGTCCCCAGACGATGGCCATGTGTCACAAGGTGGTCACTTCTAGCCACCAACGTTATGGGATGTTCCATCCTCAATGACAGCGTGGTAAGATTATTCTCACTGCACTTCTGGAAATGGATGTGTGCAGTACTGGACATGATGAGCTACGGCCAACCACTGTACTGTTTCGTGTCTTAATCGGACGTATGGCCCACGAAGTGGCACTCGCAGGACCGCTGCACTTGGTGGGCGCACTTGGACGATACGCCGTTGCGGTGTGTTGCACGAGTGACGTGTCATATGTCGTGTCGACTTCCATGAAGCCTGTGACTGCTCTCAGCTCTGGGTACCCCGCAGAGTATTGGCCACTGTCGTTTCCTTCGAAACACATGGTTCGTATACGAAGCCCAATCTACACCACGATGCGGGTTGTTGCCAGTTCATCCCTCTGGGCCAAACACCACGACTTGGAGAAACGCATGTGGAGCAGTCGTTCATCAGGACGCGCAAGACAGAAAACAATGCAACAAAACCAGCAACCCAACTCCAAAATTAATACCATCGCCCCAGCACCACCCTGTCAGTTCACTACAGTGCCAGAGGACCCAGCCACCAGCACTGGATCCACCAACAGCAGCAGGGAGGTCACCAATCTGTGCTTATGGCAAGAGCCAGTTCCAGCAACCCTGGCCATTTCCATCCTCAATCTGTGCCATTCGCTCTTCTCATCACCACAACAACCACGGTTTTCCATCGTTGTTTGTGGTTGTGAAAAGTTTGATGTACCCACAAACGGGTATTTGCCACTGAATCATGCCTGTGCTCAGATTGCATGTCATTCATTCTATCGTGTGACAGCAATATCCACAGTCGCTTGTTTAGAAGCCAAAACTGAGAATACACTCGATGTACCCTCGAACGGACATATGCTCCCAAACAAAGTCTTGTGATTCCCGAAGTGCTTCAAGCGATACTGCCCTGGTATCGTTCCATGGCTGATCGTCCAACGCACGGTTGCTGTTGAGTAGGGATCGAGCCTTGAGGGCTCGTGCCAAATGAATCGCGTGCTGAGGTCATCATCCGTGAACAGTGTCACCCAGGTGCCCGATTCTAGATATTCCACAGCCAGGAATGTGTCATCGGTGCGCAGGTCATTCCGTGGGTTGGCGGATCTGCGCACAAACAAAAGGACACACACAGATGACAACGGGTGGGGCGCTCAACCAGTGCTTCCTCTTCTTGGCCACCCCTATTCTCAACTCCGTATACATCGCACTCATGTTGACACCGTCTACTGCAACACCAACCCTATTGCAGACATGGCACAAGAACAAACAAACTGTTCATGGCAGCCCAGCACAGACTTGCAACCAAGGAAGCACGACTGCGTTCAACCAGCAGCCACGACTGTCAACGAGGCCGGCACACCTGAACTTTGCTTCCACCGTGTCACCAACGTATATTGAGCTGTTGCGCACATCTGTTACAACGTCGCCAAACTTGCACCCAAGAGGCACACTGTCGAAATAGACTCCTGGCAGGAGTGACCATTGCTTGCCAAGAAGGTTCGGGGGCGAGGGTCCCCGTGGAACCCCAGAGCCTGCCAACATTGCCCTGCTCATTTCCTTGTACTCCTGCTCGTGCCAGCACACCAAAAAACTCTAAACGGGCATATTTGTGCGTGGGGCAGCAAACAACAGAATCCAGACAGTAGACAGACTGCTCATTTGCAAATTGCTTGAAATTCATCAGGCAGCTGCCACCCACGAACAGAACATGGCACTTGCGGTGGCCACAATCTTGCTGTTGCGTGCTGCACCAGCTTTTGTGTTCAGGCGAGGTTGTGCTGCTCAGGTTGGTACACGCATACTGCACAAAACTGTACATGAGCACACTGAAATCTGGATAATGCACGCCAGCAAAAGCTTCCCCTTCACTGTGTTGTCAAAACGAAAATGGAGATCTTGCACAGGCACATCAACTGAAAGGTCATGCAGGCCCACTCTGTGCCATTCTGCACATGACACCATTTGAATCATCAAAGGCTTCCACAGGACTTCGTGGACTACACCTGTATGTATGCCTGGAGCGTGTGGGGACCGAAAATCGTTGAGGCGCCCTCGTACCGCTGGACATGGTACTCTTCATATGTTGTGACATAGCTGGAATATGTGTTGGTCAGGCCAGCCAAAACCACATGCAGCTCTCCAAGCGAGGGCTCAAGCTCATTGCGGATTGCAGCCCGTAGGCGACGACTGGACATGGTGGTAAACTCCCCAGGGACACACAGAAGCACAATCTGGCCAACGCGCAAGATCTGCACATCGACTATTGCAGGTTGCCTGGCCACATCAAAAACAACAACATTCAGGAAACATCTCTGAATCACCTGATTATGGGTCGCAGCCAATTTGCTGGACTCCACCCTGAGAATATGCTTTGCTGCCATTCAAGCCACCCTGTGTTACAGTCTGCGGCAATTGCATGCTTGCACATCAGTTTTTGCAACATGGCAACGATTCCCAGAAGTTCCAGCTCAGATGCAGGTTGCAGATGGTGCGACGTGCTGCCGTCCCATCAACGAGACAATTTCCTGGATACCACACTTGATCTTTGAAGTTTTGTTCAAGGTCCCCTGGGTCACACTTTCACAAACGCACGTCACAAATTCTCCAGATGGCACCTTTGGAGCTAAACATAACATACCATGCAAATGGGTAGTCCATCTCTCCAGTGTCGAGCAACACAGGTTTGGGAGCCTGGCACTGGATCTGGTGCTTGGATGGTGCCTTGATGCCACTGCGCACAAGCTTCCAAAACGCACTGGCGTTCTTACTTCCCTGCTTAAAATCAAAGGCCCCTGGACCTGCAAGTGACAACATAACAACCTCAAGATGCATCTGACAGGTTCGACCTACTTCTTGGCATATCACAACTCTTGAGTCTGGGAAACTGTAGTCTTGGGATATCCCTGTTTCTGCAAACATTCAACAAACTGCAAGTCCTCTCAATGTCAAGTGCACAACCCTTTACATCCATATTCCAAAACCAACACATTCTGACTTGGTGACAGTGCGAATGTCCATATCAACACAACTATCACAGCCTATGAACAAGGCCTTCTGGCAGAGGGTCGTGCAGGCTCCCACAATCCTTGCACTCGCCAAATACTGACCCACAGGTCAATGCCCCTTCACAAAGCGTGTTGATGCTTACCATCTGTTGTTCCTGCTGCAAAACTCATCCCCATGGCAGCAGGACACGTAGTCCCAGATGGTGTGGTGTTGGTGGCTGCAACCGTTACGTTGGTCATGTCAACATACTTGTGCCTAAAATCGACTGGTCCTTTCACCTCCTCAGAGGCGGATACCAGCAGGTCCACTGCCTTCTGAAACTGTCGGTCAGCGATGATCCTGTTGCTCTCAAACATATCTGGCCAGCCTGGGCCCCGGCCAGCGCACAGCTCGTTCCTGCCATTGCAGGTGCTGGTCACCGCATCGCACGGCTCACCTTTAACAATCCTGAGCACAGCAGTTAGGAACAACATACAATTGACAGTGCTGTCACAATGGGGAGCAGGCACCAGGGCTTGCAACCTTCGATGCATCCCAACCAGCATGCCAGCACTGCCTCAAACAGATGGCTTAGAAACACATGCTGAGTGACAAAATCTTGGGTGCACAGTACAGGTACTGCGGCAAATGGATGTGCGGGGAGCACTTCGATTGTCAGCTTCAAGCGTATTTCAGATGCAACAAACACACAGCTACCGGAATTCCCAAAAGGCGTTTGGGGAAAGGGGGAAAGGGAAGGGCCACTGGACATGGAATTCGAGACACTTGCAATTTGATGCGTCTGTCACTGATGAGTAGGGGACTGCGAACGTCATCAGCACATCATTGTGTGGTGACAGTGAGAGCCAGAGGTCATACTCCTGGGGTTTCAGGTTTAAGATTCCCGATGCCTAAGAGGCAAGAGACAGCAACAGTTGGATTGAATTAATTGGATCCCGAAGTCACAAGTACACAGTCATGCAGTGGCATTGAGTGCCAAGTGCAGACGGATGTTGTTGCAAATGTCAAATACTCTCAATGCCATTGTGACACGAAGAAGGCACAGCTTGCATAGCCAAACAAAGGATGGGGTTGCTTACAACCAGTTGTCCTAGAGAGTTAGCTTCTGACCACCATGCTTCTTCAAAAGGAAACCACTCCATCAAATACCGTGCATTGGAAATCACAAGGGTACCATTGCAAGGTGGCAAAGTGCAGTGCACAGATGGGATGCCTACACAAGAGAAAAGTGCATATACAGCTTGGGAACCACATCGCAACCTACAAAGGTAACCAGAGTGTACCAAGCCAACAATCACATAAAGGATTCTGATACTAGGCCATCCACAACAGTACCTGTGTCCATGCAAAACGGACCCAAAGTGTTGGGAGACACATCTCCAACAGCGCCTTGTGCAAAGCCAGCAACAAAAGGACCAGGACCAGGACACGTGAAAAACTTCTCCATCATTTGCGCTGCTGCACCTTTGTTGTCTCCACTAATGAGAGTATTGGTATTGTTGAGAGAAGTGCAATGAACTGCAAACCAATTCAGACTCCCCAACGACCTGCCAAGGAACACAAATGTTGCAGATGGTCTCAGAAAAGCCACCCTGTGTTTAGTACTTATCCTACACCAAGACATTGGTATCGATCATCACAGAGTGAAAAAGAATTTCATCAAGAAAAGCACCATCAAACAGGACATGCCAACAGTGCATGTTTCCATTCTGATGCACACTGGAATATGAACTAGAAACACAATAGGCCCTGGGGCCATGACAGCATGCAAATCATGATTTGTCTATGTCGTGGGCTTCATTGTGCACTGTGCTCAAAACAGTGCAAACGCATTCTGTTGAAATACAGAAAGCTCGCAAACTAGTTTGCTAAAGTACACCTCACAAGGTGAGAGAATGCACCTCTGGATGCTACTGGTCCAGCTCAAGCCCGACCAACCCATTTTCCATTGATATGCACTGCTGCGGCTGCTGCCTGAAACAAGGAAGCCACACACATTGATCACCCATCCCAAACAGCTGACCAGCTGCTTCTATTGTTGCCAAACATCAGCCGTCACAGGCTTTGGACATTTTATTAGATTTCTGCAATTCTTAAATAACTGTTGGATTGGTCCATGTGCACTTTCCCTGATGTGTGTCAGCTTGCAAACCTCATACTGCGTTAAATAGTCTCACAAACTTGGGCTGCAAGAGGGATGGCATGCTTTAATTCTTCTTTGTAAACACAATCTTTGGTACACATGACAGATACAACTACAAGCAAGAAGGCTGGCTCATAGTGCTGTGAACAACCAAGTTACAACACAGGGTCATAGCCAGTACTGCTGCTCTGACCTTCCATAACTGTCAGTGAAGTGAAGCAAGGTCATCTCCTTGTCGGTGTCATGGAGGTATTGCTTGCGTTCGCTCTCTGAGTTGTTCATGTACGCTGTTGGACTGCGGTTGATACTCGCACCCAACAGCTCTCCAGAATTCACATGGATCTTACCAGGGACCACACTCTCATGAGCTTGCTTAACCGCCTAAGAACAACATAAAGCTCTCTGAAATACCAGAAACTCTTGCCAAACTATGACACAAGACTGTTGGAGAATGCAGGCATTGCTTGCATTTCAGATTCCTACAAGACACAGTGCTTCAACAGCAGAGGTTCCTCCATTTGTGAAAGCTGGGCAGGCCCAAAATTTTGCAGGTGCAAGGGTTGTGTTTGCCACCTTTGGACAATGTAAGCAAGGGGTCCACACCACACTCAGAAACAGCAGGTGCACATGCCTTGGGCAATGGCACTGATATCAAAAGTATGCCTCCAATTGAATGTTCAGCATAGAATAGCACAAACACATCACACTCCAGTTAACCAGGTGGTCCTTCCACAACCAGTGAGGACATTCTTACCTGGACAATACCTTTCACAATGGGATCATAACTCTCTTTCACGAAGCCCATCGCTGTGATAGAATACAGGAGATACTGCAGGTAGCCACCTGGCCCTGAGTGTGTGTGAATGCCGCTTATCGCAAGGTTGTTTTCATTGTAGAGGCCGCCATACATATTCTGCAGAACGAGGCCCAAACACAGATATTCTCACACGGAAAACTCTGTGCAAATGTCTTCTTCCATGCCAACACAAACAAACTGTTCATGTTGGCAAGTCCCAAACTAGACACCAGAAAATGGAGCGCAGTGGCCACATCACAGCAACAGCATCATAATGTGGACGTCCACAACGTGCTTGAAGGCGATGCTAGCTTGCAGGCATCACAGCTATCAGGACAATGGTCCTCAATAAAGATATCTTGGACCAGTGCCAATTCTGTAGCTACACAAGGGCAAGTAGGTGCACATTTACTGGACAATTCTGAGAGGCACGAATGGTCACATACCCTTCAATTCAGAACTCGATTCCATGATGCATAGCCACATGACAGCATAGCAAACCATGAGCATTCTGTGTGACCCATTCATGCCCTTGACACTGGCATTTTTGACTTCAGCCATTTGGCGACTCTCCACAGCAATGTGAGCATTGCGAACTTTGATGCTCAATGGCATTCATGAACCACAACTCCAACTGCCAGCGCCATTTCTGTAGCTACACAAAAGCAAGTAGGTGCACATTTACTGGACAATTCTGGGAGGCGCAAATGGTCACATACCCTTCAATTCAGAACTCCATTGCATGATGCATAGCCACACGACAGCATAGCAACCCATGAGCATTCTGTGTGTCCCATTCATGCCCTTGACACTGGCATTTTTGACTTTGGCCATTTGGCGACTCTCCACAGCAATGGGAGCATTGCGAAATTTGAAGCTCAATGGCATTCATGAACCACAACACCAACTGCCTAGACGCACAATGTGCTGTAGGTGCACTGCTGCTTATTGTGTCTGGCTCACGTGCACTTTTGTCAACTTTTGTCCCTTCTTTCAGACTGCAAACGTATTCAGCACAACTGCTCACCTCAAGTGCGTCAAGCACCCCCAACGTCACTGCTTGGGAAGCCATGCCAGCATCCAGATTCACAAAAACTATTCGCTGCCTGCACACCAAATATCTATCAGAGGGCAAAAATGCTGAGACAGTGATTGCTTCCAGGGCCAGCAGCGTGCAGACATAACTAACTGGTCATAGGAAGGGATACTACGGGAGGCAGTTGTGTACATTTGTTGACGATCAAATGACTGCAACTCAGGTTCCTGCAGGTCAGCATCTACGCCCTCAATCAACCTGGTTTCAAAACAACATTCGTCCAGACGTCACAAACCCCCATCCTTGCCTTCACAAGGCCATGCGATCCAATGCCAAGTGAACGCTAATACGGTGGCTGCATTTCCTCGATTAGCGCAAGCATCCCAAGTGCTACTCTTGTAAACGCAAGTCGCCTTGTAGTCATTTTGGGCAGCAGCGGCCCCTGCAGCACTGCACAGCAAAAGGGAGCCCAACGGACTACTGACAGAACAGGGCGCTCCGATGCACGACCCATTTTACTGTCTAAAATCATAGATCCTTGCTGTCACGGTTTCCATCATCCAGGAACTGGTGCAGGACGGACAATGGGAGAAATCTCAGGAGGCACACAGCTTGAAAAGTGGAAGACATCTCTTGAGGCACACAGATTGGCTTTGCTCACCGCACGTCGTCCTCATCACCAATGACGAAAGCCCTCGCGTACAGGCGCGTATGGATGCCCGCAGCGTTCTGCTCCTCCTTTGCATAACCCTGGTACGCGGAGTCTTGAGTCAGCGTGAAGCCCTCGTCGAGCACGTCCAGCTGCCGAACGGTGCAGCACGCGCGGCACAGGACAAAATCGACAGAAGGTCTTCGGTGAGTGGGGTTGGGCAGCTGGGCTGCTGGACGCGCAGTATACGCAGGAGGGGCCGTTGCAATATGTAGCAACTTACATAGCATGCGTGATTGGACAGCAAACGCGCCAGTCTGTCCGTCAAGAGGCGGGCCCCACCATCATGTTCACTTCTGCGGCAGGCCCAGTGACGTCCGCCTTTCCTGCGCTCACAGCAACAATGCGTCGCGTCAAGCGCGATCATCCGTGATGGCTTAATAAAACCAGACTGCAGGTTGCCTTGGCCCCTCACCGACGCCAATCAGGTAGGACTCTGCCCGAGTGAGCCATAGCGCTGCGCAGGTGCAGCAGAGGAGCTGCAGGAAGAGCTGCTTCATGGTGCCCCGTCCCAGTACAGGTGGCCACAACGGCTGTCTTAGGCCCTGCGGGGTGAGGAACATTTCAAGGAGCGTCCAACAATTCCATGTTGATGCAGCCCTTCATCCTGGTTGGGGTGCTGTCCTCATGGATGCCCGCAACTTGAGACGGGCCAAAGCAAACCCGGGAGAGAGAAGCACTTTTTTTTTTAAAGGAAATTGGTGTCTTTCGGCTGCCATCGTGGTCGCTTTTAAAGAGACCACTGACAGTAGCTTGTGTGTACCTCAGCCCGAGCCCCCCGTGCAAATAGTTGCTTGTGTAGCCCCAACCCCCAACCAAACTGCGAAAGAGGCTGTACTTTCAGGGAAAAGACCGTAGCGTTGGCATATTGCCAGGGCAAGAGGCCACAAGATGGTCACCGTCGAGCATCTCTCTTGCTCAATCATCCACCTGAAGTTTGGTAATTTTTGTTGACAACCAGCAGCAGGAAACTAAAGCAAGCCGACGCCCACATGTGGTGGCCGTGTCCTTCGCGCCCTCTCTCCGAACATCTACGTTCGCGCACAGCACGCAGCACACAGCGCTTTGCGTTGTTTGTGGAAGACACAGATTTTCAATTCTCCTCCCCCAAACAGTAAGCGGTTAAAAGCTATTCCGTCCCAATCCCTCATGTCGTGCGCCCTCCTTCCGGCCACCCGTGTAGCGTGCGTTCCTGCTGGCGACAGTTCTTATGGGCGTGGGGCGACCGTTGTCGCGAGTGCTTGACGACATCAGTGCACCCGGAATATCTCCGTCATCGATGAGGAAATGATCAGAGCCAGCTTTGGGGCAACTGGCGCACAATTGCGGGGCATGCTGCCTTTTGGAATAGAGGCATTGGCCGCGATGAGGACCCAGAATGTGGCCGAGCCCGCGGTTTTGACGAACAACAGGAATTGGGAGGTGCGCTAGCGCTGCCATGTGCGCCAGTACTTGCGCAGCCCGGAGTTCGGCCGTTTACAACTGCTGCAGATTTGCGGTCCTGGTGCCAAGCACACGGCAAGAACGGAAGTCTGCGTCGCTTTGAATCGGCGCAAAAATGCCCGCTGCCCAGGCGGTGTTGGGATTTTGCGGCGCGAAATACCTGTCCTTCCTAATTGTTGGCTCGCCGGCGTTCTTCAGGCCACAAGCTTTCTTCATGCGCGCCAACCACGCACAGCGCACCACGAAAGAGCCCCTAGCCTGAAGAGAAAATGGGAGGAGATTGTGAGTCCGGCATTCACGAGACCTTTGTCGTCCCACCCAGGCACCACCCAACGTGGCAACCTGTCCATTTCCATCCACACATTTCAGCAAGCGAAAGAAGAACTCGTGCATGTCCTGGTGGATCCATCGGCTGGGAGAGCGGCCGATCTTTTCCTGTTTGTTTTGCGGCATCCTCTCGTCGGGGCTGACATCCAATTTCTCACAGAGCTGTCTGCGGTGACAGCCACTGTTGCGAAGGGGCTATCCCCAGAACAGGTTGCCGTTGTCTTCCGAGCGTGTTCCAAAATTGGCTATGTGCATGCTGGCCTGTTCGAGACACTTGCCGAGGGCGTCTTGGGGTCAGGAGACTTTAGCTATTTTGACTCTAAGGCGTTGGTTCAAATCTTGCATGCGCTAGGCAGGCTGCAGCACAAGTCTTATGGGAGAAACGACTTGCAACTTTTTCCTTTGCAGAACTCATTTGTCAGACGTGTGGCTGAAGAACTCGGCGAAAGGGATAGATTGTCAAGGCTGAATGAGCTAGAGCTGTCGGCCATTATGTACAGTCTAGCATTGCTGAATTTTCAAGGCAAGGAAACCGTGGATGCATTTTTGTGGGAGATGATGCGCTCCTCTCATCTCAGCCACTTTTCAGAGCAGCAGCTTGCCAACGTGTTATATGCCCTGGCAGCTTTCCGCGTGCATGATGAATCCCTTGTTCACATGTTCGCTGCAGAGCTGGCCAGCGATCACAGGCGCAGCAAGCTGAGAGGTATTGATGTCGCAATGGCCTTGCACAGTTTGGGTCGGCTGGGCTATTCGAGGACATCGATTGTGGGGGTGCTTGTCTTTGCGCTGGCTGATAGAAGCATCCTTACTGCCATGAAAGGGAGGGATATTGCATACTTGGTTTGCGGTCTTGGCCTCCTGGGGTACAGGAGTGAGCATATGTTGTACCTGCTGGCTGGTGAATTGCTAAAACCTAAACGACTTGGTACTTTTCATGCACTGGACGTAGTAGGTCTGTTTCATGGATATGCTGCACTGCAGCACGCCCAACCGAGGGTGCTGCAAGCCCTCACAAAGGCGTTGACACGTCAGAGCAGGGTGGAGGCATTGACACATGTGCAGCTCTGCAGTCTTCTGTGGAGCTGGGCTAAGCTTGGGTACAGAAATGAGCATGGCCTCAAGCTTGTGGCAGGAGCTTTGGCCAAATCAGAGTGCTTGAAACTTTTGTCCAGCAGAGAAAAGGCGACCATCATCCATGCTGTGTCAGTACTGAGGTATTGGGATGGCTGCTTGATGGACTTGCTGCTGGAGGAGCTGTTGGTGCCTGGAAGGCTGGCAACATACTCTGCCCAGGGTTTGAGCATGGTGCTGTATGGACTTGGCCAGTTCAAAATTCGTCACAAGGGCCTGATTGCAGCCCTCACCGAGGAGGTGTTGAAGCCCAACAGGTTGGAGGATTTCACAGGAACCGGCATTTCCACCTGCCTGTACTCTATGGCTCATCTGGGGGTCCGTGACAGCCGTATTCTGGGCATTCTTGGTTTGGAGGTAATCAGACCCAGCAAACTGAAATCCCTTTCTGAGCAGGGGCTATGCAACATAGTGTATGCCTTTGGGAAGGCAGGTGTCAACAATGGGCCTGTCATGAACGGCCTGATGAAGGAGGCCCTGAGTCCCAGCCGTCTCCCAACACTTTCCAATCAGGCGCTGTCCACCATTCTGTACGGCTTGGCCAGGATGGGATACGAGAAAACAGATCCAGTTCTCCTACTATCTAGACAGTTGATCCAACCAGGCCGCTTGGAGCAACTGTCTGAGCAGCAGCTGGCCAATTGCATCCTGAGCATTGGCCGCCATTGTGTTGAAGATGGTCAGCTAGTCAGTTCTTTGGCGAGTACCCTGCTTCGGCCAGGTCTGCTGCAGCTTCTCAAGACGCAAGGGCTGTGCCAAGTGGTTGTTGGCCTGGCTGCAGCGCACTGCAAGGACCCCAGCGTCCTGACGCCTGTCGTCCAGGAGGCTGTTAGACGCCAGAAGAACGGCCTTTTCAGGGGCACTGAACTTACCAAGGTGTTGGTGGCGCTCGGTCGTCTGGGAGTGAGGGAGGAAAGGAACCTGACACAGCTGGCCATGGCGGTCGCAGAGCCAGAGCAAATCAGCGTGTTCAGCGTCCGCAGTCTCTGCATGGTCGCCATGAGCATCCACAGTATGAACCTGCGTGATGGGAAATGGATTATATCAAAGTTCCTGGAGGAGATCAGGAAACGGCGAAAGGAGCTGATCGCGAAGAGGGAGATGGAGTCGAGACACTGGGTCCCTGTGGTTGCGTGAACGCGCCTGTTGTTTGTGCAACAACTTGCTGGTACAAGTTGTTGTTTGGCGCTGCTGATTTATGCGCTTCGGCAGAAAGTCTGAGCACGTCCAGAGAGGGCACACAGCGGGTTGTTCAGTTACACACCCGGGCGTTTGACAGCGCTGTGTATAGTACAATTGGACACCGTACCTTGACCTGTGCAGTCAGGTATGCCACAAAGCCGCAGAACGGACCACGGGCCGCTGCGTACCCCGTTGCACCACTCGCCGCCTTTGAACATGGAGGGGGAGTTGGTGCAAGATGCGGTTGGTTGGTTGTGGTTCCTTTCGACAACCCGTGTGCAATTCCACGGAATGGAACGCCACATACAAACGAATTGGTGTCCTTCACAGCATCAGCACGCGCATGACTTCCCTATTGGCCCTCGGATGCGCTCACAGCATGAATTGCTGCTCTCCGAAGCCTCAGCTGAGGGTGGGGTGACGTGGTGCTATGGTGGGGGCAGCGGAATATAAACCCACAGTTTCACCAGGAGAGCGTTTGGTCCTGGCGACGCATTTTGGTGAACAATGGGCAGCTGCTTGGCTGAGCCGGATTGAACATCGCGAGGACATTGAATGCCAACCGGCGTGTACTACAGATTGGAATACATGCAAGAACCAATATCCACTGACGCAGCCAGGCAAATGGACTTGGGGAGTACACCGGACAGAAAGGGCCCGTGCTGTGACGACCGCCCGAGTGAGCAGCACTCACCTGACGAGGCGTTGCGGTTTTGTCCAGCTGAAACGCTGTTTGAAGCGAAGGCGATGGTGCGAATGAAATTGAAAGCGATGGCCTTGTCGCCCTTCGCAAAGGCCGGTTATTCTGGTGAGAATCAGTTACTCACGCGCCTTCTTCGTTGTCGATTGCGGCAGTTGTTTCACTGCGCCATAATTGGATTCAGCTCTACAAATTTCAATGCCACTGAAGGGCGGAAACTGGCACAAGCCTTCGAGCGGCGGCCAACCGAAAAATCTGCAACGGGCACCAGGAACGATAAATCCCGCAGTGACACCCCTGTCGTGAGATTGGCGCGACAAGAATTCCCTTTTCAGATTTCGGGCCTCCACAGCCACAATGCCTCGGTATTGTAGCCATGTCTGCGCCGTGTTGCGTTTGCTCAGGCAAGGTACTTGCGAAATGCGACAGGCATCCCATAAGTTGTCTGGCAGTGAACGGGCACGTCATGCGACTTGGTGCCGCAGCCCACAGAAGCATAACCAGCCAAGGGCCAACAGCCACGCCCAATTGCAATCAACTCAAGACTTCAGGGAATTTTCAACCTGTTCTTACAGCAAGCAACCGGTTCTGGAAAATCAGCAAACGGAGACCATCTCTGTTCTGCATGCGTTCCTGGAGGCATACTAGCGCGATCGAGCCCCTGGTGGCCACGCACATCTATGGGATGCCGTCCAGCTCCACATGAAGCAGCAAGCATCTACAACAGTCTCCGAAGATCCTATGTGCACAATCAACTTTAACCCAAACTGCCATATCAATGTATTGAAAATGTCGATCAGCCCAGGGCAAACGATCGACACGCCCTCGTGTGCTGTCTGGGGCGTTGAATGAACAAAATAAGGAATGAGCACTGAAGCAGCACCGCTCGCCATGCAGTAGACGAGGGCACGATCTAGGGGCGCCCTGTCCCAACCTGCAGATGAATCTGTAACTACCAATCGATGCGAATTCTTCCTCTTCTTGATGTGGCCCATAAATAAAATCAGGTGTGTTGTGCCTATGTGTATATCCACGAGGGCCCAGGGCACCCAGGGCTAGAGCATCTAGC